CAACAGTAGCCCACATTAACAGGTTTTACGGTGTTTTAGAAAGTTACAAGGTCAAATATAGCACATTCCATTTTTCAGTTTTTTAACAGTGAAATTTGCCAGATTAGTAATGTTACCTTTGAGACCGTGTGGTAGCACAGGAATGAGATTTACCCCCATGATGGCATACCATTTGCAAAAGTAGACTACCCAAGGTATTGCAAGTGAGGTATGTCCAGTCTTTTGTAGTAGCCACTTAGTCACAAACACTGGCCAAAGTTAACGTTCATATTTGTTTTTGTGTGAAAAAAGCAAAAAACTAATATTTGGCCAGTGTTCGTAACTGGTTTTGTGGCTACTAAAAATGACTGGACATACCCCGTTTGCAATACCTTGGGTTGTCTACTTTTGCAAATGGTATGTCATTATGGGGGTAATTCTTATTCCTGGGCTACCATACAGTCTCAAAAGGCAACATAACCAATCTGGCAAATTTTAATGTGAAAAAAATGAAATGCAAGCCTTATATTTGACTCTCTAACTTTCCAAAACACCATAAAACCTGTACACGGGGGATACTCGGGAGACTTCGCTGAACACAAATATTAGTGTTTCAAAATGGTAACTTGTATTACAACAATAATATCGTCAGTAAAAGTGCCGTTCATGTGTAAAAAATGCAAAAAACATCACTTTTACTAAAAATATCATTGTTGTAATACAAGTTACCATTTTGAAACACTAATATTTGTGTTCAGCGAAGTCTCCCGAGTAAAACAGTACCCCCCATGTACAGGTTTTATGGTGTCTTGGAAAGTTACAGGGTTAAATATAGTGCTCGCAATTCAAATTCTCTGCACTTTTTGCCTGGGTTGTCAGGCATGTCAATCAAATTTTAACTAATTAAGTCGCATAATTATGTTAAAATATTACTTAAATATACACTTAAAATTTTAATATATATACATATATATGTATTTAAAGTCTACGTGTACACTTATGTAGTTATTTATGTAATTATTTGTATTTTATATATAGATAGATAGATATAGAATCTCATTCTAAGTGTATTTTGTTACCAATATATATATATATTAATAACAAAATACAGTTAGAATGAAATTACATATGTATATATAATTTATTGAATTTAATTTTTTTTTATTATTTATTAATTTATTATTTTATTTATTTATTATTGTAATTACACGTGTATATATAAATATAAAATATATATAGATGTATTATATATATAATATATATATCTTATATATATGTAACGTCATTCTAAGTGTATTTTAATACTAATATATGTACTTATATTAATATTAAAATACACTACGTATGATGTTACATATATATAAGACATTGTATTATACATACATTTAATTTATTTTATAACATGTGTAATTATTTTTTTTTTACACTACCCACCAGCAGGTGGACTGTCTGACATTTCAGACAGTCCCCCTGCTGGCGGATCCACAGCCAGCTATAGGGGGCCATGTGATCGCCTCCCCGGGGGCCTCATCCTCAGAAGAGGATCGCGGCGGAGGTGAGTAAATTGGAGCTACTGGGGCTGAAAGCCGTTATGGCGTTCTATGCCGCCGCAACGGCTTTATGCGCGTAACGGCGTTAAGGGGTTAAACATTGCAGCACTTTACATTGCAGCTGGAGGACATCCAGCGTCAGATTTCCCCCCCTAGGAAAGCATTGATTCAGTGCTTTCCTATGGGAAGGTCGAATGCGCGTATAGCAATGGCCGCACATGTGCATTAGAGCCCTCTCATCGTGGGGCGGAGGAGGAGGAGAAGCTTCGACCCAGCACCGAATGACATCAGCGCTAGGATCAGGTAAGTAAATAAAGGGTTTTTAACCCTTTATTTACCACAGAGGGGGCATGCGAGTAAGGGAGGAGGCAGAGGATGCTATAATCCCATGAACTCAGCTTGGTATTCCTGGAAATATAGTATCCCTTTAAATTACCTAAGCTGTGCAATTGGTAACTAGCTGTATGAAATAAATGTGGTACACAAAACTCCTGGACTGGATGAAACCCGATATAGATCAAAAGGGAGGCAACTTGTATACATAGCACAGTTTAGGCGATTCGAGTCATATCTTATGGTCTGCTTATTATTATGCAAATCCATCTATAGATCAATGTCTGATGCCCACAGCCATCAATTCCTTATGGGATAGGACAAAAGTTGATGGTGGAGCTCTGTCTTTTGTGAACCTTTGTTAACCTTAGATTTACCTACACTGTCTTATGATATCGTTGGATCGTGTTGGAATTTCAGTACAATTCCAGCTCAGTCAGGATCAGTATTTCATAAACATTAAAGTGAATTTCAAAGTAGCCACCCTAGCAAAATTCTCCATGTCGTTTTTATTTTTCCAGTTTGCTACTTTGGCCTTAAATGTAAAATTCACTTTGAATTTTCAACAATTAAACCTATTAATGTAATTAATGGAATGATCATATGTTAGTTACCTCTTAATGTAAAATCATGTAGCAGATTTAATTTAGTAAGTAAACATGTTACTGTAATTAATGGGATAATCATTTGTAAGTCACCAGTTGTGTTATTTCTGATAATTAAAAAAAACAAAACTATTTTTTACAGTTGCTTGCAAACATTGGATATTAACCTTTTCGTGTCCAAAGCTTCAGTAAATCCCATGATATTACAAAATACCGGGCACATGATTTATACTTAAGGGTTTCATGTCTCAACACACCCAGTTCCTCCCATTTTCCCCCCCAGCAATTCTGCTTTATCCCCACACCATTCTGTACCACAGTAATTACTAATAGTACTCATAAATGTTCTATACTTCTTATTTCTAGCATGACTTGTGTTTCTAGAATTTCATTTGGTCTAATACGCTTTTGGCTGAACTGTTAAGTTCCTTCATCCATTTAAAGGTTCATATCAGACATATCTCTCTTCACTACTCCAATATTCACATTATTGTCCTTAGGACTCCTGTGGCAATGGATTCTAGCGATGAATGCTTATGGTTACAACTGAATGTTCCAGAACTAAGTTGGAATATTTTCAAGTAGTATGTGCAGAGTTTAAATTCCAGTCTAGAGATTTTATCTTTGTCTAATACAAATATTTTGTTGAATATCAGATTCTTAACCTAGACATTGTGTAATAGGAAAGTGTTTGTTATTATTATTATTATCATTATTTATAACGCGACAACACTTTCCCTAGCACTGTGCAATGGGTGAACTAACAATCAAGTATTTGTGCCCAGACGAGTTCAACGTACAGGAACAGAGGGGTTAGGGTCCCTGCTCAATGAGCTTACATGCTTAGTAAATAAGTAATGATAATGTCATGGAAAGTGGTAGTTGTGGACATGTTGATCAAAAAGCATAAGCCAACATTTTAGTATATTAATCTAATGTCACAAAAAGTTATCCAGTGCAAATTAAGCAGTTTGTAAAATTAACATAAAATCGTGAAATCCCAAAACATCACTACTAAGAGTTCTTACTTAAAAAAAAATCAACATGTTCCATTGTAAATAAGAAACATATAAAAGGTTTTTTTTGGGGGGGGGGGTTTTGTTTATTTTTGCTTCAGAAATCACAAGATAAATTTATACGAAATATTTTAATTTAAGGCATGAAGATATTTTAAAGCAGATAAATGTGTTTTAATAGAAGCACAAAATGGCAATCTGATATTTTGAATGTAATATTTCAGTTGATTACAGTGTTACCAGGGATTACTCACTGCCACTAGCACATGACAGGCAGAGGCAGATACACAGCTTCAAGACAAGATGTCACTGATTGATTCAGAACACCGCATGTTCCATCCAAGATCTAAATATCAAGAGTAAAGTGCGGAATGCTGATGTGTGCTGGCCAAGGTGCTGAAAATCATGTCTTCAGCAACAGTGCTTTAGCAAGAATCTCGTATTGTATACAGTGATTTCTAAATAATAATTCCGAACATTCTAGTATTGTTATTATTAACTGCACTCTGTATTGTAATAATATTAAAGAACAAAAACACCAATCTGTAGCTTACACGTTGTTAATAAAAGGAAAATAATCTTTCAGGCATTCTTATTCCAGAAATGGTTTTCACAATTACATTTTACATTACTGTATCTAGAAATAGTTTGATTTTTATTTGATCAGCTCCCCAAAAAAGGTACTTATGTAATTAATGGGTTGGATCTACAGCTATTAGATGGAGATTGAATATCTAGTGACCATACTTCAAAATGGAACTGGAAGAGAATGTGATCCCTAGCAAAGTATGCCAGACGGTAAAGGGCTCAATCACATTCGTTAGATGAATTAGTATATTGTGTGTGCTTTGGGAGATCTGTTAAATAATTAGACAGAATTTATTGTAAATGCCTGCAGGAGTATGTATATGCATCTCTTTACTAAATTGAATCACAATCCTTTGCTGTCACACAGGAAGAATTGCTCAGAATGAAAGTGACAGCTTGTAACATGCACTGTGTCGTCAAGGCAGAAGTAACCTCTAGATTGATTAATTTCAGACAGACTAGTGAAAACATCTAATGCTAAAGGTGGCATGAATCTTCCTCTATTGAAATGATTTCTATTCCTGCCACATCACATGTTTCTGAACTACAGTTCCCATGAGGCTCAGCCAGCTAGTATCTGAGTTGTCAAAGATAGCCCTCAGTGTTCTAGTGATTCCATGGGATCAGAAACAATCACACTGGTTTGCCACAATAGTAAAAATGTATCATGTCTAATTCTACAGTCAACAGAGAAGACAATGAAAAACAAGATGAGATGTTCCTTGAATGGTGATCCATCTTTAATTCCTCTTTTAATTCTTTAATTACCACTCTGCAGAGATCTGTCTACAGTCGGTAAAACGTGCTAATTGATTGCATATCCTTCTTTCAACTGAGCATCACACTGAAGGACCTTCCAGGGACAACATTCAATAAATAATGCAATGTTGCTTTAAATGAATAAAGAGGCCGCGTGGAAAACAAGCACGGCAACAATTACATGTCATTACATACCCAGATAACTACACATTTTATTCATCCAGATTTCAACACTTTATACTTAAAAATGGAAGGACAAGCATCTGTGAATTGCACTAAAAACACCCCAGCATACAAAGGAGATATGAAGAAAATCATTGTTATTTCTAGATCACCCAAACCTGATACTTGATAATGAGTGACATGGGAAAACGAAGAGGGTTTTCTCACTGGAATAAAGATGATAACACCTTGGCAAATGATCCATCTGTGTCTGTTCTCTTAACAGCCTAGTTATTTTGAGACAGGGGTGCTACAGTGAACACTGGCACAGTCATGACATTTATATATTCTTTTGCATTTTTATGATTAAGTTAAAAATATACATGGCATGGTGGTAGAGTGAGAAAACTCAGGACACATTTTGTTTTCCTTTGGTATGTCACAGGTGTCATTTAAGTTTCAACAAAGTGTGTCTGCGTCAAAGAGAAAGCAAACAGCTTTGCCTGTGAGTCAGACCCATGTGCTGAAGCTCAGTGTAAGTGATTGTGGGGGATATTGGGTTAGGGATTTATTTTGACATTTTACAGAGAGATCGCCCCTTGGTTATACCTAGAGCCTTCCACATATGGAAAATGTTTTACAAGCAGGTCCCCAACTGTTGCAGAACTACAACTCCCATGATTCTTTGCCACGTCTTACAACTGGTAAAACAATAGAGGAGTTGTAGTTCTGCAACAGTTGGAGAGCAACATTGTGACTAGCCATGTTTCATGGGTGTCCAAAACCTGGACCATTAAATTTGGCACAGCGTCATGGGAAAGGTAGTTCTGCAACATATGTGCACTGGGTACATAACACATGAGCTACTGTGTGATTTCTCAGCCAGCCACTACCCCCATAGCCAGCCACTACCCCCCACAACCAGCCACTGCCCCCAGAGCCAGCCACTACCCCCACAGCCAGCCACTGCCTCCACAACCAGCCACTACCACCATAGCCAGCCACTACCCCCCACAACCAGCCACTGCCTCCACAACCAGCCACTACCCCCATAGCCAGCCACTACCCCCCACAACCAGCCACTGCCTCCACAACCAGCCACTACCCCACAGCCAGCCACTACCCCAGCAGCCACTACCCCCACAACCAGCCACTGCCTCCACACAGCCAGCCACTACCCCCACAGCCAGCCACTACCCCCACACAGCCAGCCACTACCCCACAGCCAGCCACTGCCTCCCCAGCCACTACCCCCAGCCAGCCACTACCCCACAGCCAGCCACTACCCCACAGCCAGCCACTACCCCCACAGCCAGCCACTACCACCATAGCCAGCCACTACCCCACAACCAGCCACTGCCCCAGAGCCCACTACCCCCACCCCCCACAACCAGCCACTGCCTCCACAACCAGCCACTACCCCCACCAGCCAGCCACTACCCCACAACCAGCCACTGCCTCCACACCAGCCACTACCCCCACAGCCAGCCACTACCCCCATAGCCAGCCACTACCCCCATACACCCCCACACCCCACAGCCAGCCACTGCCCCACAGCCAGCCACTGCCTCCCACAACCAGCCACTACCCCACAGCCAGCCACTACCCCCACAGCCAGCCACTACCCCACAGCCAGCCACTGCCTCCACAACCAGCCACTACCCCACAGCCAGCCACTACCCCCACAGCCAGCCACTACCCCCACAGCCAGCCACCACTGCCTCCCACAGCCAACCACTGCCCCCCCCACAACCAGCCACTACCCCCCACAGCCAGCCCCCACCACCACCTCCCGTGTGTATCAAGGAATGAAACTCACAGCCACAGTCTCAGCTGATTGTCAAACAGTTAACGTATTTTTTGCGCGCGCCCGTGTGATGTCGGGTGCGCGCAGTTCGCCTGCCCCCCCATCATCCTTCAGGTGGCTCTCCTGGCACGGCGCCGCGCGCTCTCTATGGGCGGGAAACAAAGTGGCGGGAAAGGAGGGAGGGGGAGCGAGGTGGTGTTAGTGGTGCTGGTGCTGGAGACAGGCAGGAGGGGCGGGCGAGCGGGCGGCCAGCAGCGCTATATTAAGTCAGTGAGCGCGCAGTGAGCCGGACTCCCCGAGCTGGAGGGAGACGGAGAGTTAGAGCAGCAGCCGGGCTGAGGGCAGTGCGGACACCGGGGGCAGAGCGGGGGGTGGATGGGGGGAGACCCGGCGGCGGCTCTCATGCTGGGCTGAAGGAGGAGGCGGCCGCCCGCTTCCCCTGCCCGCCCTCACCTCCCCTCACCTGTATGGACGAGCACCGCAGCCTCCTGCACTCACCCCCGCCGTCCTCCGCCCGGCACCGCGCCAACACCAACCTGGTGAACCCGGGCTACACGGACTCCGACACCATGACCGTGGCGGCCTGCGAGAACATGCTGGAGGAGGCGGCCGCCCGGCCCGGCGCTCACCGCCGCTCCTCGGAGGAGGCGTACGGGCAGGAGCACGAGTGCTGCGAGCGGGTGGTCATCAACATCTCCGGCCTGCGCTTCGAGACCCAGCTGAAGACCCTGGCCCAGTTCCCGGACACGCTGCTCGGGGACCCCAAGAAGAGGATGCGCTACTTCGACCCCCTGAGGAACGAGTACTTCTTCGACCGCAACCGGCCGAGCTTCGACGCCATCCTCTACTACTACCAGTCCGGGGGCCGCATCCGCCGGCCGGTCAACGTGCCCATAGACATCTTCTCCGAGGAGATCCGCTTCTACGAGCTGGGCGAGGAGGCCATGGAGAAGTTCCGGGAGGACGAGGGCTTCATCAAGGAAGAGGAGCGCCCGCTGCCCGCCGGCGAGTTCCAGCGCCAGGTCTGGCTGCTCTTCGAATACCCGGAGAGCTCGGGTCCGGCCAGGGGCATCGCCATCGTGTCGGTGCTGGTCATCCTCATCTCCATCGTTATCTTCTGCCTGGAGACTTTGCCCGAGTTCAGGGATGACAAGGAGTACAACGGGCCCCCCGTGCTGCCCCCGGTCAACGGGACCGGTCCGTACCTGAGCAGCTCCTTCACCGACCCCTTCTTCGTGGTGGAGACCCTGTGCATCATCTGGTTCTCCTTCGAGCTCCTCGTCCGCTTCTTCGCCTGCCCGAGCAAAGCCACCTTCTCCAAGAACATCATGAACATCATAGACATCGTGGCCATCATCCCTTACTTCATCACCCTGGGCACCGAGCTGGCCGAGAGACAGGGCAATGGGCAACAGGCTATGTCCCTGGCCATCCTGAGAGTGATCCGGCTGGTGAGGGTGTTCAGGATATTCAAGCTGTCCAGGCACTCCAAGGGGCTGCAGATCCTGGGGCAGACATTGAAAGCCAGCATGAGGGAGCTGGGGCTACTTATTTTCTTCCTCTTCATCGGGGTCATCTTGTTCTCCAGCGCTGTGTACTTTGCCGAAGCCGACGACCCCAACTCTGGATTCAACAGCATCCCTGATGCCTTCTGGTGGGCAGTGGTGACCATGACCACCGTGGGATACGGGGACATGCACCCGGTGACCATAGGGGGTAAGATCGTGGGCTCCCTGTGTGCAATAGCTGGCGTGCTGACCATAGCCTTGCCTGTACCTGTCATTGTCTCCAACTTTAACTACTTCTACCATAGGGAGACCGAGGGAGAGGAGCAAGCCCAGTACCTCCATGTTGGCAGCTGCCAGCACCTGTCCTCCAGCGAGGACCTGAAGAAAACACGGAGCAACTCGTCACTGAGCAAGTCAGAGTACATGGTGATAGAGGAAGGGGTGAGCCCAGGACCCTTCAAGCAGCCCAGCTTCAAGACTGGCAACTGTACGACCACCAACAACCCAAATTGTGTCAATATCAAGAAGATGTTTACCGACGTGTAATGTGTGTTCGATTGGAATATTGGGTGGGTTTTAAAACAGCAATGTGATATGTCACCGCCATCGACATCAGCGTGTCCCACTTCTCAACAATGTTTATTTCTGAGCCTCTAGAATGGACATAGCTTTACCCACGTCCTAAATACCATGGATGAAATGGTGCTAGTGCTATAGGCAATGCTATGTAGTGGCAACTGCTCCGGAAGGCTGTGAGGCTGTCTCTTATTTTTGGTTATCGTTTTGCAAAAATGAGGACAAGTCGCTGGGTTTTTATTTTTAGTTCTCTCTCTCTCTTATATTCAAGAGCTGCTTCTTAGTTTTGCTGGAATTCACCTCATTAGCCAAAGCACATGGGAATGGAGGTATATAGAGTTATCAGAAGCACACCAGGCAAAACTAAAAGCAAAGGTCTTATGATTTACCTCTCGAGCCTCAATGTAAGCGCACATTTCTTGTTAATTTTATACTTGGATTATCATATCCTCATTCTCACTCGTGAACAAAGGCGGGAGAACACTGGGACACGCATCAGTTCTGAGTACATATCGGGGCAATCTCCTTTGACAGAGCAGAAATGTCTCTGATTGTATGAAAAAAAAGAGTAAATTGGCACTTAGTCCTTTGCATTATTTTTAAACAGGCAATTGAAACTGCAAAACGTTTAGTAAGTCCCCAGTTCGTGCCAAGAAAGCTACATTGGCATGCAGCAAGAAACAGGTGGATGCTGCAGATCTATTTTCTGCTATGAATCATGATGCTGTTCGTGACAGCCTACATGCTGTAAAAGAAGATTAAATGGTTGGACTTGCTTTTCTTCGGAAGTTACTAATTCTGACCCGAGTGATGCAGTTCCTATGGTAACATGGGTTTCCTGGGAAACTCCACTGGTTGCCATGGCATCCTTGTTCCCATAGTAACCATCCAGATGGTTCCAAGTTACAGACATGCTGCTGCTGCCATGAGAATGCTCTGAGAAAGTTAATCCCACCGAGATTTGCAAAGTAGGTATGACAATTTGAACATCACCTGCGATCAAGGGAATATGGAGCCATTCATAACCTCATGATAAATTAACAGTCATTCTTCCAAAACACTGCAGGTGGTGCAGCTTATTAAGGCACTTTAGGTACCAGATCAGGAGTTTGATGCAAACAGGAAATGATGAAGCTCAGTAATATCATGATTTTTGAGGAGCAAAGTCAATCTACAAATAAACTGTAGCATCCAGCAAGCACTTTATAAATTACACATCAGCACTTATGTGACTATCCAAGTAAATCCGCCTTATGAGGAAGTAAAGTCCATGGTAGATAATGAGAGGCTATAAGACATCCAGCACTAGAAAATACCAACTTGGACCTGTCTAACCCTTTTGCTAAAGGCAGTGGTGAATCTTAAAGCAAGGTAAGCATTTGTGTAACACTGATGTGCACTGCTTATTTAATAATTAGGCTCATGTACTGTACCTACCTGTTTTCAAATAAATATATGTATGTGTATATATATATAGAAGAAGACTTTCATTTTGCAGGAGGTGGCTTAGTGCAACTCACATCCTAAAATAAGCAAATCTTCCCCCAAAAAGGATATATTTGCCTATAATACCTTTTATAGGCAATATCGTACAGGTGCAGGCCTGCCACCTGTTTGATGTCTCTGGAATAGGAGGAACAAAAACATTTAGTAACTAACTGGATAATGTAAATGGTAAAAATGTATGATGAGTTGCATCAAAACCTGCATGGTGGGAGGCATTGCTGCTGATAATGTGGTAGAGAACCTGATTGGAAGGTCCACAATTAAGGGCTTTTAACAAAAAAAATGAGGTTCATTAAGTGTGAGTATTGTTCAGCTGGCCACCTAGGGCTTAATGAGCTTTTCCACACTGGCAGATATTAGCGTATGTGAAATGTATCTGAAACCTGTGTGGTTACCTTAGGGCTCATCTTTTCTACCACACCTGCATGCGTAATTAAACAATATGCTGGACCATAGAGGACCATATACTTGTACTGCCACATATACAGGGTTATTTACTAAAGTGAGAAGTGTCTGGAATTCAAAGCAATTTAAGGCCAAAGTAGCTTAAAAATTCAGCTATACTTGCAGTTCAATTTCAGCTGCTTTATCTTAAATATAAGGTACAGTTGGAAGTATTGACAATTCACACTGTAGTAAGTAACCCTCAATGATGCATACCATAACATATACAAAATTACATTTAGTTTGTTTCTTTGCCCTATTTAATTTATTCCACTTCTTATTTTTTTTAAAAGTTTTCATGATGCAATTATAATAGTAGCTCTGCTCTAATATTTACAGAATCTTTTTATGGGAAATCATTTTCTTTTTCCTTTTATTTTTTGAAAACATTTTAATCTTGTATAGAGCTGTGCTTAATGCAATTACAGTGCGACTATATGGCCTATCTAACTTAGTGCACCCTGTGTCTACTGGTTTCTATTATATTTGTCTGCATTGGTGATCATGCATTTTGTGTGTTATGTGTTGCTTACATAAGTGAAGTAGTAGGCAGGTTTGGCTTATCTCTGCATGAATTTAAGGAACATTGGTTGAGAATAGTTGATTCATGTTGGTCAATACTCAAGCTGTTCACCAACAGCCACTTTAGAAAAAAATGAACAAACTGAAACAACTTTAACATGCTGACTTGAACTAACCTTTACAGTACCTGTCATGTTGACTTCCCAAATGCTGTTCCTTAACATGGAATGTCAAAATTCAGCAGTGGAGCCAGTACAAAAGTTATATATAGATCAAGGATAAGACAATGTATGCTGGTACTTCACCTACTTATGAAATGGAAAGTTCAAAGTCTGTTCCTTCCTTAATTTCCTGGGTTGTGGGGTGGAGCAGTGCATTGGTACCTGAGCTAGGCATAACAAACTACCTTCATAAGACCTCAAAACCCCTGTTTACAGTGCCTGTTGGTGCATAATTCTTCAATTCCTATTAGTGTCCAAAGATTGTCTAGAGCATGGGTAGGCAACCTTTTAGCAGCCCTGTGCCGAAATAGGATTGTGATGTCTCATAGCAAGCCGGTCCTATATATTTTTTTATTTTTATTTTTTTAAATTGAGGTGTGTACGTTGCCGTATTCTGGTTGTTATTTATACTGCAGTTGCTTGATATCATTGTATTTGTGCGTATACGAGCAATTATATTGTATATGTTCATGAGTAGTTTGTGGTATCGTGTATGATTCCCCAAATACAATCTAAACTGACATTTCTCAAAAAAGAAAAAAAAATAATGATCTGGAAAAAAAAGTTAATCCAAATTAATCAAACAATGCCTATGTTCTGTTGGTAAAAATAGACCTCCACACAAAATAAAAAAGCAGCAAAAAAAAGTCTTGTCAGCAACAAGCAAAAACAACAAATTGAAAAGATCAGCATACTCCGACAGATGTGAGAATAATAAACATCATGATACCATGAATAGTTCTCCAAACTAGTAATCATTAACATACGAGCCAGTGAGATGAATTGAATGTTGCAGCCAATCACATATTTCTTGTTTTTCCCCATAGACTAAATTCCAATCTAATGTGTATTCATTGCATGCCACTGGCAACGTTTTTGCAACTATATTTTTGATAGATTGCTAAGTGTAAATTCTTCATGAAGCAATCCATTAGATGTCTCTAAATATTCTTGACATGTAGAAAATCCTGGTTCAAAAGGAGCCATATTCATGTAATGTCACATTACAATCTCCATTGGTACTTTCAATGTGGTTAAAGTACAGTGGAGATTTATTTATTAACCACTTCACATCCAAGTGAATTAGGCTACTGACCAGAAATAAGAACTAGAAACAAGAGACAATTTTTGAACCTGTAGTGGAAGAGTTGATGAGGTGCTATTTTCAATTTATTTATTTTTTACTAAACTCAGAATTGTTGTTGTTTTTAATTTTTTTTTTTTTTTAATTCTTTATTTTTGTCGTGCATTTAATTGTAACAAAATGCGCAGCGTACCCCAAAGGCATTCCTTGCGGAAATATTCAACAGTATTAACTGGGGAGTAGTCAGAGGTGCAAGCACATTTTTCTGTTTATATTAAAAGCGTGTGGTCAGAATAGGCTGGACACAATGTTTTTAGGTAAGCTAGTAGCTGCACTTTGCTATGTTAAATCATGAATGTTGCCTACGCTGGTAACATATTGTATGATAGCATGGTTAGTTAACAAATCTAGAAAATAGGATATGAAATGCTTAGCAGCGTTAGAATGGTAGGCTGTGTATGTATACAATCGGTCGGCCCGTCTGAGAGTGCTGGGGAGGCATAGTTGACCGGCCCGTTCACCAAGGGGTTCTGGACTCCATAGACATATTTATTATGACCTTTGTACCTGTTGTACACTGCAAAGGTTTAAGTGCGCCTGTTCCAAGCTAGCATGGTTGGGGCTCTCATCGGTCAGGTTGCCGTTTGGGGGCTAGCTTTAAGTCAGGTACATACAGGCAGAGTGTCGCTGGACTACTGTGTGGGGGGGGAATCCAGCCGTCTCGCTGTGAATTTTTACGCCTGGCTATGGCCATGTCTTATGTGCAAGGCGAATCCCAGTGGATTCAGGCGGGGGGGAGGGGGGGGGAATTGGGTGTTATGGTCCCTGGACTGCTCGTCTGGGGGTATTAAGTGTGGCGTGACCTGCACTTTATGAGAGCAGAACTGGTTGGCTAGGGAAGGTGAGGATACGTCAAAATCATATTCAGAGAGGCTAAAACATTTTAAAACAAGTTAACAAACTAAAATGAAATCAAGTTGAAATTAAATCAATGCAACCGGGGCATCCCGGTATTCTACTGCCTGCTGGATATCTTCACTCAGGTTTTCCCTGAGGCGCTGTGAGTGTCCTTGGTCCCGCGTGGGACAAAGGGGGTCACCCCTTCTGGATTCCATCAGTGGAGTGGTTTGCTTGGTCCCAGGGTTTCAGTTTCGTGGAAAGAGTCCTGCGGCAGTCCTAGAGTGGGCAGCAAGGTTGCCGCTTCCCGTAGGTCTCGGACCTCATGTTTGTTGTCCCCTTGAGTGACTTGCAGCGTTCGGGCTTTGTGCCATCTGTAGCGTATTCCGTTCCGTTGTAAGAGTGTAGTAAAAGGCCGGAGTGATCGCCGCCAGGCAAGCGTGACTCCATTGAGGTCAGCAAAAAAGGACAACTCCATAGATTCAAAAGAATATGGTGAACAGTCTCTGGCCACTGCTATCACCGCTGTCTTGTCTGTGTGCAGTTGGAAGCACAGGATGAGGTCTCGGGGTGCCGAGGTCGGTGCTTTGGCCGGCTTCTGGGTCCTAAAGAAGCCATCCAGGTTGACGTTTCTGGCTTGTTTCGGCGTTAGCAGTGCCACGAAAAGACGTCTCACTAAGTGTGGTATCTCTGCTGGTGGGATGCTTTCCGGAATGCCCCGGATCTTGATATTGTTGGCCCGGCGGGCGCCCTCTAGGGCCGCAAAATGGCAGTCGTGCACCTCATTCTGTTTCAGGTCCCTGATCTCCTGCTGCAGTGTCGTGATTTGGTTTTTGCAGGCGCCTGACGCCGTCTCCAGGGCCCCCATTCGGCCAGTCAGACCGTGGATGTCGGCCCGGAGCGTTGCGACGTCCGCTTGTAGGGTCCTCTGCAGGTCCACCAGCAGCGACTTCAGGACTTCTGCTGTTACGGGTGAAGTGTCCAAAGTTTGGGCGCTCGGGGGCGATCTCTGTATCGGAGGTAGGTCGGTCTCTTCACTAACCAAGGAGAAGTCGTCAGACAGCTCAGAATATGTCCCGCCGTGGTAGTCGGCCATTTTGGGCCTGCCAGCCTCACGGGTCTGACGCAGGAGTTCTGCAATGTTTGGCCCCTTGCTTGGTTTGTCCAGCTTTAATTTTTTTTTGGTTTTGCGGCCCATCACCTCCCTCTGTCATGCATAATGCCTGGTGTGCTAGGATATATATTTTTATATTGGTCCCAATTGGTGAGTTTAGGCCCAAAAGTGCAGGAGCTTGTGTGCCGTGCGACTGCACTGTTCAGTAGCTAGACTCCGCTTTTTTTTTTTAACCCCTTCAGGACCGGACTGTTTTTGCGATGTTTGTGCGTTAAAGGACCACTCTAGGCACTCAGACCACTTCAGCTTAATGAAGTGGTCTGGGTGCCAGGTCCAGCTAGGGTTAACCCATTTTTTCATAATTATAGCAGTTTCAGAGAAACTGCTATAATTATGAATGGGTTAAGCCTTCCCCCTAATCCTCTAGTGGCTGTCTCATTGACAGCCACTAGAGGCGCTTGCGTGCTTCTCACTGTGAAGCGTCCATAGGAAAGCATTGTAAATGCTTTCCTATGCGACGGGCTGAATGCGCGCGCAGCTCTTGGAGAGGAGGAGGAGAGCTCTCCGCCCAGCGCTGGAAAAAGGTAAGTTTTACCCCTTTCCCCCTTCCAGAGCCGGGCGGGAGGGGGACCCTGAGGGTGGGGGCACCCTCAGGGCACTATAGTGCCAGGAAAACGAGTATGTTTTCCTGGCACTATAGTGGTCCTTTAAGGACCAGAGCTATTTTAACACTCTTGTGGTGTTTGTGTTTAGCTGTAATTTTCCGCTCTCTTATTTACTGTTCCGATACATATATATTGTTTTTTTCAGGACAAAAAGGGCTTTCTTTACATACTATTTTTATCATGTCATATAATTTAATTAAAAAATAATACAATATGGTGAAAAATTAAAAAAAAAAACACTTTGACTTTTACTTAAAAAATCTTTTACTGATCTACAAAATCGAATTAAACAAACTGCTAAATAGATTCAAAATGTTGTCTGAGTTTAAAAACACCCAATGTTTGTGTTTTTGTTTTTATTTTGCTTTTATTTCCAAGTTATAGGGCTATAAGTACAAGTAGGAAATTGCTGTTTCAAAATGTACATTTTTTAAATGTATCAATAGTGACATTGTAACACTGTTATGTCATCTCCAAAAAACACCCCACATGTATATATTTTTCTTAAACTAGATAACCCAGGGTATTCATCTAAGAATATACTTTCCATGCAGCCTGTAACGAATCACCTGGAACCCCGACTGGGTACCTCCGTTGAAGGATGCTCCTAGCGCTTCCTGAGGACTCCAAGCACTGCAGCAGACACCACAACCACCGAACCGGAGAAGCATACGAATGCTCTCAAGCATATAATCAGCTTACACTCCTGGCTTGAAACATGTTCCTACACACAGTCCTGGTTTCGAAGGGCGATCAGGACAGTGAAAAGGGGAGTCTGTCCTTTTCCAGTTTTTAAAACAGACCCGGCAATGTTTCTGGGGGTGTCTAGCAGTTGGCGGTAATTTAAAAATAAAATGTATGGACTCTACTTGCACATTTTGTTGGAACTTGTCCATCTCCATAAATTGTTAAAGAAATTATTTTCAACTGAAACTGGAGCAAGGTGGTTTTCCCTGGATTATTTTTTTTAAAAAGCAAAAATGAGTTATGGGTTGCTATTTGCATCTGCCACCTTTTTATACAATGCTTTGGTTTTTCGTAAAATAAGATATGGCTGCATCAGCTGATCAGCCAAATCAACAAATCAACACCCCCCATGTACTTATTATATGCCCTGATGCAAACCGGTTTGGACTCTACTCTGCCCCGGACAGAGACGTCTGACATGCGTTCGTCATGGATGGTGGTTAGCATGTTGATATCCTTCCTGTGCCTAAATTTTAGTGCAAGCACTTCAGCTTTGCGAAGTGCTTTACATTTGCCTTTTTTTTTTAAATTTTGCCTCTGAGAGATCGTGGAGAGTCTTTGGAATTTTTTTCTGGCAGTTCTGCAGGCCAGTGTCTGTAAACCATAAAGTGTTTTAAGCAGACGGACACTACTATAAAAATTATCCACATAAAGGTGGTAACCTTTTATTAAACAAGGCGTTTAGTAGGTCCCATACAAGTTTCCCACTTGTCCCCTGGGAGTCAGGACAACCAGGAGGGTCCAGTTGACCATCTTTCCCCTCATATACCCGAAAGGCAAACGTGTATATACTTTCACTCTCGCACAGTTTGTGCATTTTTATGCCATACCTAGAGCGCTTTGAGGGGATGTATTGTCTGAACCCTAATCTCCCTTGGATAAATTTTGTTGGGGGGTATAAACATCCGAAAATTTGTCCTGAAAATGGTCTAGCAGTGGGCGTATTTTATGAAGCCTATCGTATTGGGGGTGATCTCTAGGGTGACAGAGGGTATTGTCACTGAAATGTAAAAATCTCAGCAGTAACTCATATCTGGCTCTAGGCATGGTTTGGGAAAATACTGGAATAGACCTTATTGGGTTGGTGCTCCAGTATGAGCGAATCGATGGCTTCTTTACAATCCCCATGAGCATTGTAAGAGCCCAGAATTTTTTAACCTCTGGGACATCTGTGGGATGCCAGTCATGCTCCCTGACTGTATAGCTATCTGCATTGTTATCAATAAATTTGGTAGCATACAAGTTAGTCTGGGAAGCAATCTCCTCCCAGATGGTATCCCCTAAAAATAGTTCTAAATACTGCGTTGGGGAGAAGCCATCCACATTAACATTAATTTCTGCGTTGGCACTAAAAGGGAGGGCGTTGGGCTCGGCTAACTGTGGAGGTACCCAGTCCTCCTCCACATTCGGCGTAGCAAAGGAAGCACAGCTTTGATCTGGGTCAAAATCTGATGCAGTGTCAGTGGCGTCAGTCTGACGCCAAGAAGGCATATGCCTCCTGCATGTTATACATACGCTGCATGTTTTACACACGACTAAAATAAATTACAAACACACACAAAAATCTAATGGAGATTTGGGGGAAGGAAACTGACTGACTAAGACAGACCAAGACACAAATTTTTAAAACAAATTTAACCCTTTAAGGGCAAAAAAATTATAATACAGACAGTACAAATGCACTGCTGTAACAGATCTGGCAGGGAAGGGGTTAAAATGATTTTGTAATCATTTTAGATACTGTATAAAGCTCTGGAACACTTCTGCTGCAACAAACTATCACAATCTCTGTCTCTCTCGCCTCACAAAACGCTACAGAGGAGGGAGGGGCAGAGATCACTGTCAAAGTGAGTGTTTGTTTGTAACACCCACTTTGACAGCAGCCAATTGTGAGCGATCGCGGAATGCTCACACGCCACAATTGGCTGTTACTATCTGCCTGGGTTGTCGTTTTGCAAAAATGAGGACAAGTCGCTGGGTTTTTATTTTTAGTTCTCTCTCTTATAATGTTTATATTGCAGAGTTAAAGACAGCCACGATAGTCTTTTTTTTTTTTTTTTTTTTTACTGTTCTACTATTGCAGCGCATGTGCATTAGGTTCCCCTGTTCAGCTGCCATCTGAGTAGGAGGAGCCTGACCCAGGACATTGTTGCTGGAACCATGTAAATGTAAAAGGGGTTTATAACCCTTTATTTGCTGGCGAGACACTAGTGTTATTAATTCAGTTTTGTATTCCTTTAATGATTAATTATTAAATGAACACTGTGTTAACAAGCACTTTTATATACAAATAATGCATTAAACAAGTGCATATAATAAAATAAAAACTAAAGTGATGACTGGCTGAAAACAAAATACTTGATTCTGAGAACAATACACCTCAACTGCTGCTCAATAATATTTTAACCAACAAAGGAAAATAATTTGAGATCTGTACTGATTGCAAAATGAAATGCCTGAAATAATATAATATTGTTGCTTATTTCCCAGGTAGTCGAATCATTGACATTTTACTGTACTATGTAAATAAGGCTGCTATTATAAAAACTATTCATGGAGGCCCCCCCCAAACCCTACTTTTGACCCACCCTGGATTATTGTTTCACAAAGGACTGACTGTGAACCTGATTCAGATACAGTCCAGCTTGGCCAGTAACTAAACCATACTTGTATTGTAATATCCATCAGGTTTTTTTTTAACACCATATCAGTTTAACCAGTTCCACCTTTATCTCACTTAAAACAAAGAACGTAAACTGGTATGAAATTCTGGTGCTGTTTCCCCTTTTCAGTGATCGTACTCATCATTTACTTGTTGAAGGATTACCACTGGTACACCGACTTTTATCACACAATTTACCACTTTTCAAAATATTTTCTATGGAGACTTTGGCATTAGAAGTAATAACATCTGCTGCTAAACTAAAACATAAAAAGTAGAAACCTAGTCTGTACTCCAAGAAGAACTGATAACCCTAAAATACAAAGACAAGAAGGAAGTTTACATGTCGTCAGCTTTGCACAAGCATGCAATTTGAAGGATTTCCGTCCATGACAAACGGCAACAAGAAATTTTATTTTTAAAAGATCACAACATGCACTTGACCTGTCTGACTGTCATGACTGATATAAAAAAAAAAAGTTGAAACATTCATCCTGTGTGCAATCCACCATTCCTACATCCTCTAAAAATAAATAAGTAAAACCCTGAAGTAAAATGCACACTTTCATCCTGTCAGCTGAAGATAATTTCAGTGACTTTGTTTGAAGGCCCATGTGACATTGATTGTATCATTTGATGTGCAATCTACAATACTAGGGTAGCTTTATTCTTTCTGAATTTCTTCAACCTCCCCCACCAGAAAAAGTGCAGTGCGGTACACAAAGGTGTTAAAGGGACACTATAGTCACCAGAACTACAGCTTAATGTAGTTGTTTTGGTGAGTATAATAGCTCACTTCATGCATTTTCATGTAAACACTGCCATTTCAGATAAAAGGTAGTGTTCACATTGCCCCTAGGGACACCTCCAATTGGCCACTCCTCAGATGGCCCTGGAGGGTCTTCCTGGTTCAGGGCTGCATGGTGGAGGCTGAATTTACCTCATAGAGATGCATTGTTTCAATGCATCTCTATGAGGGGGTGCTGATTGGCCAAAATAGTGTTTGGCCCCACCCACTTGCCAATTTTAGCCAATCCAATGCTTTCACCATGGGAAAGCATTGGATTGGCTAAAAATCTGCAATTTTGATGGTCACCAAGGAGGCAGGGCCAGCGCCGGCGGACCTGTGGAGAGCTGAAAATAAGGTGAGTTTAAACCCCTTCTGAGTGGGCTAAGGGGGGGTGAGGGGGGGGGCCTAAATGGTGGGTTTTCACTATAGGGTCAGAAATACATGTTTGTGTTCCTGACCCTATAGTGATCCTTTAAAATTTGAACATTTTAAAATCTGTTGAGGTTGCAAACCAGAATGGTTTTACTGCCCTGTTTGCCGATCTGAGCCTAAAGTTTGAATTATCAGCTGCCATCGGTGACAATCGCAGCCAATTCCATACTTCCGCATAGGGATGCATTGTGGGGGTTGCTGTGCATGTGAGGCAACTCCAACACTGTGATAATCCACATCCTCTTATAGAGATGCATCAGCTCAATGCATCTCTATAGGAGCATTTGGGTCTTCATACATAACCATTGGTCCTCTTAAAGATTACAGGAACACTATAGGAAGTTCCATGTGGCTATATGCAGGGCCGTCTTTAATATTGATTGGACCCTGGACAAAGCATTTGCTTGGGCCCCCTGGACCCTGTAAACCCTCCCCAGGCATGTTATCACTCTTAACGCAGTGGCAACCTAACGTAGAGAGTTGCAAGAATATTTTTTTTTGGGCCTCCCTATTACAAGGATGTTTTAAAAGGTAGATCTGTTGTGCAACTCCAGCAATGCTTTGACAGCTGGGTCTCTACCATTTACCCATGTTTGCAGGCTTGTATTTAGCACTAAGCAGTTTTTGTGTGTTTCAATGTAAACAGGTTTTTGTACGGAATATGATACAAAAAGATATGTGCACAATATGGAGGAGGGTGAACAAGAAGCTCTAACACCTAAAAGTGGTATCCCCTCCACCACTTAAAAATAGATAATATACAAGATGGAGCTTCTAAGTAGTAGTTCAACAGATATTCTGTAAAATTATACAACAATAGTGCAATACAGTATTCATAAAAAGCGTAAAAATTAAAATCCAAGAGTGGTGTCACTCACAAGCCTGGAGTCATACCCTCATATGACTCGGATAGTATGCGCCTTTGGACCATTCCAGGATGACCAGATCCTTCTTTAAAGTTTTCTGTGCTTTGTTAACCCTTAACCGGCTCAAGAATAGGCAGATGCCAGGTCAGAGAGATTTCTTTAAAGGACCACTCTAGGCACCCAGACCACTTCAGCTTAATGAAGTGGTCTGGGTGCCAGGTCCAGCTAGGGTTAACCCATTTTTTCATAAACATAGCAGTTTCAGAGAAACTGCTATGTTTATGAATGGGTTAAGCCTTCCCCCATTCCCTCTAGCGGCTGTCTCATTGACAGCCAATAGAGGCGCTTGCGTGCTTCTCACTGTGATTTTCACAGTGAGAGCACGCCAGCGTCCATAGGAAAGCATTATGTGACCGGCTGAATGCGCGCGCAGCTCTTGCCGCGTGTGCGCATTCAGCCGACGGGCAGGAGAGAAGGAGGATCGGAGGAGGAGAGCTCTCCGCCCAGCGCTGGAAAAATATATGTACACACATACAGATACACAAAGACAGCATACAAATACACACTGACACACCGATACACATCCAGACATAAAGATACAGACACTGTGTCCAGATACAGACACTGACACACACATACACACCTGATACACTGACACACAAATACACACAATGACAAACGTATAGATACACACAGAGACAGACAAACTGACACACAAACATACACTGATAGACATACTTACAGACACATAAACTGACAGACATGCTGACACATTCACCAACACACACACACGACATACTGACACAAAGAGCCATACTGATACAGACTTGCAAACACTGACATACATATGGACACACAGAGGCACACTAACAGACATGCTGACACATACACTGACAGACATATTGACACACACATACTAAGACATACTGACATACATTCACAGGCATACTGACAGATATACTGACAGGCATACTGACACACATAGGCAGACATACGGACGCATACACTGATAGACATATACTGAGACATTCACAGATATACACACACACACATACTGACACATACACTGGGAGATATACTGACACACAGGCAGAAATACTGACACATACACTGACAGACATACTGACATATAGACCTATACTGAGAAATTCACAGATACACACACTGGCAGACATACTGACACATATACAAAATTTACACTATTAAATTCACCCTCCAGTTTCCTACCTGGTTGGTGAAGCTGTTGGGAGTTGGGGTCTAGCTCGGCCCAGACTCCCTCCGTTCTGCCTCTTCCTCCTTGCGACGTCACTTCCTCCAGCTGCCGAAAAGCAAGAAGGCCCGGTCGCGCTCTTAAAGCGCAAGAACGGGCCCCTGCTGACAGAAGCCCACCGGATGGTCATGATCGGCACCATGTGGCTGCACCTGATCGGTGTGGTCACCCTGCAGGACGGAGAGGTTACTCACCTAATCCGCAGCGCCTCTCCCTCTGAGCGGTGTTTGCTCTAGCGACCTGGTCCTACGTTATGGAGGACGCCGGCCTGCTGCATCCCCGCGCTATTAAATGGTACCGCCCCCAAAACCGTCATGTGAAAAAGCACATTTTGGGATCAAATGTCCCATTTTGACCAATGAGCATGGTTTTGGGGTTATTTAAACCCAGACCTGCTAGTGTTCAGTGCCCTGTCGTGGTTTCCATAACTTTGGTTATCCAAGAGCGCGTTTTTGTTCTGGTTTTTGATCTTGGCTTGTTCTGACTATCCATATTTTTGGTATCCCTGACACTTTGTCTTTGTGTTCTCATTTAAGCTCCTGTCTTTGTCCCTGACTTAGGCTTGTTTCTGACTATTCTTTCTATGCTAAATCCGACTATTCTAAGGTCGGCTAATACGTTTGCCATTTTTAGTCTATTCTACATTTTGACTTATTTCTGCGTGTTGGGCCGCAACCCCATCCTGACCGTGACTGTCAGGATCCTATCCTGACAACCAGGAACATGTTTCATTTTCTTCTGTTATTATTTAATTAATACTTGTTTCTTGCTTCTAGTGGGCTCCCTAGCCACTAATCTCCTCAGTCACCTTATCATCCTCACCTACCTGGACTAATGAAGAGGCTTCATAAGGCTACATCCTGCTCACAACAGGGCTTTTACATTGAGAGGGAGAAGTTGTGCTCTGCTCCTGGCTCTTACTGAGATTTGTTATAACCTGATAAAGACCTGTACCTAACTCAACTGAATCCTGACATCCTGCTCCAATCTTACTTTCCTGCAACCATCTTGATTCATCCAATTCTGCCCTGCTTTATTTTTAACATAGACTTTGGTTTCATGTTGTTTTTCCTCCCAGCCTGCATGGATATTATGGACATTATTATTTGCCAATATCCACACGCTGAATCTACAGTTTTGTTTATTATCAAAGAGGCCGATCACCTCCATTACTTTGCTTCAACCTGTTATACTTTATCCCTTTATATTCCTGTTTAGTTTTTACAAATTTATTTCCTGTATTCCTGTTTTGGGGCATATTGCCTAAACCTCTGTTATTTCACCTTCTACTTACTCACCTGTAATTCTGTTTTCCCCCTTTATCATTATTATTCCTTTTCTCTATTTATCTTGTTATTCATATTGCTTCCTTTGCCTGAACCATGCCTAACGAATCAAATAAACTACCTGAAATAAACCCAGGCATAAGTCTCCTGTCTGACCTGTGCAGAATCATGACTGTGACACTCAACAAACCCCTAGCCAGTCTAGGCATTTACACCTGGTGCAAATAATGAAGCTCTTGATTAGTTGCATCAGGTTTGCTTGAAACACCTGTTTTGTATATTTGTGCTAGGTTGACTAATTTTGACACTGGAGAAGTCACATTTTTAGTTGGATTTGTGGAAATTACTTGAAGCATTCTTTGTGTTGAGCTATTTTAAAAAATGAATATAAATTACGGCTGTAACCAGCACGACGTTGTGTGTTTTTTTTTTTTTTTTTAAAGAAATAACCCCAAAAATACAGGCTTGTTCATGATGTTACAAATCTTTGGCTGAGACATTGTTAGTTTGATTGCAGTGACATACTGTCAACACGACCACATGCTGCAGTTTACTGTCATTGCCTGCAGGGGGCCCAGATAGTTGCCAGATGACCATCTGCTTCATGGGAAGAGAGGCGGGATTGAAGGGACGGCTAAATCGTTATGGCTTCCTGCAGGACAGCATAGCATGCCTTGATGGTGTTAAGGGTTTAAGTGAAGGACAACCATGACTGAATGTTTCCGTCATGCGTCCTTAAGGGGTTGAAAGATTCTTTCAAAGTGCGCAGGTTTTAGTTTCTTATTTCTTAACGCAATTCGTTACTAGATTTATATACTTGTTATAATATCCATTGTAACCTTTCCGGATACCGGCTATAATGCCATTTGGTGTAAAGTCACGACTGGCCAGCCAGGCAGGCACCTGCCCCAAGAACCACACACCTGCAAAGAACCACACACGTATTGTTTTCTTATATTAATTGCTTTAGTATTGTGGAATTAAAGGACCACTCTAGGCACCCAGACCACTTCAGCTTAATGAAGTGGTCTGGGTGCCTGGTCCAGCTAGGGTTAACCTATTTTTTCATAAACATAGCAGTTTCAGAGAAACTGCTATGTTTATGAATGGGTTAAGCCTTCCCCCTAATCCTCTAGTGGCCGTCTCATTGACAGCCACTAGAGGCGCTTGCGTGCTTCTCACTGTGATTTTCACAGTGAGAGCACGCAAGCGTCCATAGGAAAGCATTGTAAATGCTTTCCTATGCGACGGGCTGAATGCGCGCGCAGCTCTTGGAGGAGGAGAGGAGGCAGAGAGCTCCCCGCCCAGCGCTGGAAAAAGGTAAGTTTTTAACCCTTTCCCCCTTCCAGAGCCGGGCGGGATGGGGTCCCTGAGGGTGGGGGCACCCTCAGGGCACTATAGTGCCAGGAAAACGAGTATGTTTTCCTGGCACTATAGTGGTCCTTTAAGAGTATAACATTATTTCACAAGTATAATGTCTAATAAGCATAATCTTCCTTTTCTTTACACTTATTCATGGAAAAATAATTGCGCATATATATATATATATATATATATATATATATATATATATATAATCAGTTGTTATTGTAGTGTAAATTCCCTGAGAACAGTCACTGGGCAGATAAGTGCTTTCTATTGTTTGTCCTTGACCTTTTTAAAATCTAGTTATGCTCTCATCCTTTTGTGAGTGCAGCTTTGAAAGTTTATGTAAAGCTTTTTTCCAGTAACAAATAACAAATAAAACCACTTATGAATTAACCCCTTAAGGACTGGACTGTTTTTGCGATGTTGTACATTTGCGACCAGGCATATTTTTACACTTTTGTGGTGTTTGTGTTTGGCTGTAATTTTCCGCTTTCTCATTTACTGTTCCCATACAAATTATATATTGTTTTTTTCAGGACAAAAGGAGCTTTCTTCACATACCATTATTTATATAATCTCATGTATTTTTATTTAAAAAAAATACAAAAATCTGATGAAAAATTGAAAAAAATACATGTTTTTTGACTTTTACTTGAAAAATCTTTTGCTCATCTACAAAAGCGAATGAAAAAAACTGCTAAATAGATTCAAAATTTTGTCCTGAGTTTAAAAATACCTAGTGTTTACGTGCTTTTTTGCTTTTTTTTGCATGTTATAGGGCTATAGGTACAAGTAGGATATTGCGGTTTCAAAACATACATTTTTAAAATTTATCAATAGTGACATTGTAACACTATTATCTGTCATAAATCTCTGAATAACACCCCACATGTACATATTTTTTTTAAAGTAGACAACCCAGGGTATTCAATATGGGGTATGTCCAGTCTTTTTTAGTAGCCACTTAGTCGAAAACACTGGCCAAAGTAAGCATTCATATTTGTTTGTGTGTGAAAAAGTAAAAAAACTAAATTGAACGCTAATTTTGGCCAGTGTTTGTGACCAAGTGGTTACTAAAAAAGACTGGACATACCCCATTTGCAATACCTTGGGTTGTCTTCTTTTGCAAATGGTATGCCATCATGGGGGTAATTCTCATTCCTGGGCTACCATACGCTCTCAAAGGCAACGTAACCAACCTGGCCATTTTCAATGTAAAAATATTTGACCCATATATTTGACCTTGTAACTTTAAAAAATGCTATAAAACCTGTACATGGGGGTACTGTTTTACTCGGGAGACATCGCTGAACACAAATATTAGTGTTTAAAAACTGGAAAACGTATCACAACAATTATATCATCAGTAAAAATGCTGTTTGTGTGTGAAAAATGCAAAAAAAGTAACTTTCACTGACAATATCATCACTGTGATATGTTTTACTGTTTTGAATCACTAATATTTGTGTTCAGCGAAGTCTCCCGAGTAAAACAGTACCCCCCATGTACAGGTTTTAGGGTGTCGTAGAACGTTACAGGGTAAAATACAGTGCTAGCAAATTAAATTCTCTGGAATTTCGGCCTGGGTTGGCAGGCAGGTCCCTCAAATTGCAATCAATAAAATTACTGAATTATGTAAAAATATTACATAAATACGCACGTAGAATTTAAATATATATGCATATTTATATATTTGAAGTCTACGTGTATATTTATATAATTATTTATGTAATTTTGTATATGGACGTATGTATATTTCTTATTATTTTTATTTATTTTTATATACATAGATATATATACAAATTCATTCTAAGTGTATTTTGATATAAATATATATATATTAATTTTAAAATACAGTTAGAATAAAATTTCATATAGCTATATAATTTTTTTTAAATTTTTATTATTTAAAAAAAATTATTTTATTTAAATTACTTATTATTTATATTTTTTAATAATATATATAAAATATATATAGTTATTATATATATTATATATATACGTGTGTAATTTAATTATAAGTGTATTTTTATATTAATATAAGTACATATTAATATAAAAATACACTTAGTATGGCATTATATATATATGATATATATAGACATATATTATATAGATATAATATATGTCTATATATCATATATACACATATATAATTATTTTATTTTTTTTATTAACATTAACTTTATTTTTTTAATTGATTTTACACTAGCAGGGAGACTGCCTGTCAGCACAGACAGTCCCCCTGCAGGCAGACACTAGGACACCTATTGTGACCATGTGATCGCTGTATTAAGCGATCACATGGCCACAGGGGGTCCTAATCTGCCGCGGGGAGACTGTCTGGGCTGCAGGCAGTCTCCCCACAACCGGAGCCACGCTGATCGCCGCCGGGGGAACGACGGCGATCAGGTAAGTAGCTCTGACCGTTAGGACGGTTCAGGACCGTCATCGGTCGGCAACGCAAAAATGCCGATGACGGTCCTGAACCGTCCTCGGTCCTTAAGGGGTTAAAGGAACACTACAGTGTTATTAACACAAACCTGCATTCCTAACATTGTGTCCCTAGTTATATAAAAAAAAAAAAAATTCCATTTTTTTTATTTTTTTAAATCAATAATTTACTTACCTTTTTCCAACACAGAGACTCGTTTGGCACTGCTCATCTTTCCACTCCTGCCACGAAATGGAGGAGGCATGGCCTCCTGCATGAGGGTTCAAATGGTCCAATCCGATACTCTATGAAGCACTGCGCTCGAATTCAAGCTTCACCATAGGAAAAGATTGTATTTAATGTTTTTACCATGGGCTTATAACCCGTGATTGCCGCACCTTTGCAAAGTCATACTCACCTTTTCCATAGTTTGACCGTGATTTTTCTCGCATTTAACAGTTCATTCTGCTTGTACAAAGAAGGTGGAGGAGGCAGCCGATTCTCTGCTCGAGCCCTTGATCGGTGAAGGTTAACACTGGTCGGGTAGGTCACTCGATCTTAACTCAGAGGTAGAGTTGAGCGGACACCTGGATGTTCGGGTTCGGCCGAACTTTGAAAAAAAGTCCGGGTTCGTGATCGAACTTGACCTCGAACCCCATTGAAGTCAATGGGGACCCGAACTTTTGGGCACTAAAATGCCTCTAAAAAAAGTCTTGTAAAGGGCTTGAGGGCTGCAAAAGGAAGTAAAATGGGGGTAAGAGTAGGACAAGTGCCCTGCAAACAAATGTGGATAGGGAAATCACTTAAAAGAACATAAAAATTAAAAATACAGCACTAGATGGAATCTTTGATTTTTAGCTTTGGAAGAACATAAATCAAAATCTAAAGCATGGCTGTCAGGAGGGTTGGAGTGCAGGGTATTCTCTTTCACTGTTCAAACTGAGCTCAACTCCTCTTGCATGAAGAAAAGGCCTTCACAAGACTCTGATATTGTGTACATAGTTTATACTAAGTGACCCATAGGTTGAGGAGGCGGTGACCGTGGCGGTGTAGGTGGAAGAAGCAGTGGAGGTGGTAGCCAACAGAGGGCCCGCACTTTCTGCAGCAGCTCTGATATATCTGGGTACACACCGTGGCATCACAAGGGCCATCCAGAACTGGCTCAACTCCCATCAAGCCAAGTTCCCAAAAGAGATCACCTAGCTCGTCATGCTAGAGCACATTTTCAATGTGCTCCCAAATGACAAGGCGATGATGCATTCGTATGTCAATCCATATCAACTTTCGATGCCATTTACTGTGCTTACCATGATGACCACGGGGAATCAGGGTTCGATTCCGTACAGGGACCCTGACAAACGGCTACCACGTGCAAGGAAGGCAGCAGGCGCGCAAATGACCCACTCCCGATGTGGGGAGGTAGTGACGACAAATAACAATACAGGATTCTTTAGAGGCCACTTGAAATCCTTTAACTCTGATCAATTGGAGGGCAAGTCTGGTGCAGAGCGACTGACCCATGCGTGCTCCAGCTGAAACTCCACTATCGTCTGCTGCTGCTCGCACAGTCACTCCAGCATGTGCAAGGTGGAGTTCCATCTTGTGGGCACGTTGCATATGAGGCGGTGAGCGGGAAGGCCAAAGTTACACTGCAGCGCAGACAGGCGAGCAGCAGCAGCAGGGTGACAACGCCAAAAACGTGCACAGCCGCTACAGTGAATGTCGCATCCTGTTCCAAGTTGCGGATCAGTCTGGTGATGGCTTCTGGTATCCAGTACTCTTTTTATTGAAGCTGCATCAGGGTCCTTGTATGTGGCCGCACAAACGCTGTTGCTCAACACCAGGGGCCGTGCGGTTACCCTGCTAATCCACTCCTAACTTCAACATCAGGCATACTGGGTCCCGGTCGACCGACTGCCGCCCAGACAGTGTCTGGGTCCTGGTCACCAGACTGCAAAACTGTGAATGGCTCGTTAAATCTGGTATGGTTCCTTTTATCGCTCCATCTGTTACTTGGATAACCGGCGCTCTTCCTCCAAACTGCACACGTCACTCGCATGACCTTGATTCCATGTGGGGTCTAGGACCTCATCATCCTCAACCCTGCCCTCATTGCTGGTCTGCACACTGCAGAAAGCCACAGCAGTTGGCACCTGTGTTTTTCCAGCGTGTAAAGTCTGCAAAGGACATATGGAAATTGTTTTAGAATTGTATCCAGGCAACAGTTTTTCCCTATAAACTGACCTCTCAGTTTGACTTGTGAGGGTATTGCCCCCAAATTACAATATTGTTATATTGGTATTTGACGCTTCTATTTGACTCGCAGATATGAAGAGCGCACCCAGAAAATTAGAATGTTTACAACTGCGCAGTAAGCGCATTATTAGACTCTTCTATTTGACTCTCAGATATGAAGAGCAGGCCTAAAAATTTACTATTTAGCAGATTAGCAGCAAAACAATTAGAATGTTTACAACTGCGCTGTAAGCGCACTATTTGATGCTTCTATTTGACTCTGATATGAAGAGCACGATCCAAAATGTACTGTTTAGCAGCAAAACAATTAGAATGTTTACAACTGCGCTGTAAGCGCACTATTTGACGCTTCTATTTGACTCATAGATATGAAGTGCACGCCCCAAAATGTACTGTTTAGCATCCAGAAAATTAGAATGTTTACAATTGCGCTGTAAGCGCACTATTAGACGCTTCTATTTGACTCTCAGATATGAAGAGCAGGCCCCAAAATGTACTATTTAGCAGATTAGCAGCAAAACAATTAGAATGTTTACAACTGCGCTGTAAGCGCAGTATTTGACGCTTCGATTTGACTCTCAGTATGAAGTGCACCCCACTAATGTACTAGTTTGCTGAATTCTTTCCTAATCTGTTCCTGAAAGCGGCAGCATCCTCTCCCTACACTAATATGAGCTCATGTGCGTGCGGCGCTACGCAACTCCAGCTTCTATATAGAGGTTGGGTCACATGCTGCACTGGCCAATCACAGCCATGCCATTAGTAGGCATGGCTGTGATGGCTTCTAAGGGCACACAAGTCAAACGCTTGTTGATTGGCTGCCCTGCAGCCTTTGAAAACGCACCATTAAATCGCCGAACTCCAACCTGAACATACAGTTATATGTCCGTATTCGGGTCCGAGGTCCAAAAAACTTAATGTTTGGTACGAACCCGAACTTTACAGTCCGGGTTTGCTCAACTCTACTCAGAGGCTTTACTGTTCTGGACTTGAATTTGTCCCAAGATAGCAGAGGTGTATTCCACTGCTCAGAAAGAAGGATCATGCCATAAGGCTTTGATGCCCTGCGCCAGCAGTTCTGGGCAAAGCTCACTATCTAGAAATCTAATCTGACAATGCAGCAGATGGCAGAGGTGTGGCCATGGTTGCTTAATGCTAGCATATGCAGCTATCTGCCCACAACTGGTAGATTTCTGCAGGCAGACCCAACCTACGAAATCTGAGAGCCTCCTATTGACAAATCTCATTACCTACTATATGAAGGGGGGATGAATGCTTCCGACCCAGTCGCTGAAGCTTTACTGGGGTCTCTCAGGAGCTCTTCCATCCGACCAGTCTGCATCTCTCCTTTCAGGCAGGTACCCACACCTCTGCCTATTCCGTTCCAGCTCTGCTTTTAGTTGCTGGATCCATCTAGCCCAGGGATAAATTACGAGAGCTAAGCCAAAGGCACTTGCGGCTCTTAGGCCTAGCTTTCTTGCTTTTTATCCCTGGGTTAGAGAGCTTCTGAACCAGCAAACAGATCGGAAGACTCTATCACTGGGGTCCCTAAAAGTCCACACAGGACACAAGTTCCAAAAGGAACTAACATACAATACTTTATTTTACTTGGAACTAGCCCATATTTTTGTTGCTGTGACAAACTAAATAAAATACAATTAACCAAATCATATAAGAACACATACAGGAACTTATAATAACATAACCACATATTTTTAGATGACTTAAAGGTAAGCAGACAATGTAATAGAGCAGGAAGAAGTGCTAGCAGAATGCTTGATTGTATAGGGAGAGGTATTAGCAGTAGAAAGAGGGAAGTGCTCATGCCATTGTACAGAACACTGGTGAGACCTCACCTGGAGTATTGTGCGCAGTACTGGAGACCGTATCTTCAGAAGGATATTGATACTTTAGAGATGGTTCAGAGAAGGGCTACTAAACTGGTTCATGGATTGCAGGATAAAACTTACCAGGAAAGGTCAAAGGATCTTAACATGTATAGATTGGAGGAAAGATGAGACGGGGGATATGATAGAAACATTTAAATACATACATGGAATCAACATAGTAAAGGCGGAGACTATATTTAAAAGAAGAAAAACTAATACAACAAGAGGACATATTCTTAAATTAAAGGAGCAAGGGGTACAAAAATATTTTCAGAAAGTATTACTTTACAAAGAGGGTAGTGGACACATTGAATAACCTTCCAGCTGAGTTAACAGTTGGAGGTTTAAGCATGCGTGGGATAGGTATAAGGCTACAAATGTAAACAATGTCCCCTGGTGGGACCTGTAGTGTGTAAAGGGAACTTTGAAACCTTTAAGCCTTCACTCATTCCAGTTTTTTCTAGATAGCTACCTTGAAGTTGATGGCTTTATCTCTAGCTAGCTCAGTGAAGGATTGGCAATGTGTGTTATTTTTCCTGATAGCTTTCCTAACACTTTGCACAGCAATAAGTGGCAACTCTGTTTCAATATTTTTTGCTACAGTATTTTGAGCCTGTGTTCATGTGCATTGGTTAGCTTCCCCCGCTTGGGATATAGTCACCACCTTTTCCAGACCTGCAGGTCAGTGAGGCTTTAGTATTTTTGCTGTTTGCCATCTTCTTGTTAATCCAAGCAGCCTCCTATTTAATGCGACCCTTTCTGCCCATTTTGGATTGCAGAGTTTAATAGCCCTTGTAGGGAATTATATGTGGTGTGTTTGTGTGTGTGTGTTACTTATGTTTGTTTCTCTGAATATACTTTTAAACTGTGATTTATTTAATTTAAAAAAAAAAAAAATATTTAAATTTTTTTTTTTTATGCTTTCTTAATTTATTTATCATGTGGACTTTAGGTTCACATGCCATTTCAGAATACTTGTTAGGTTTAAGGCTCACTAATTTAAAGTATTTAGACAATTGGGCAGACTAAATGGGCCGAATGGTTCTTATCTGCCGTCACATTCTATGTAACTTGGTTAGTTTTAAAGAAAAAAAAAAATCTTGCTCTTAACGCTTTGTAGCTGGCTCCTAGATTCTAAGCAAATATGTCATCCCTGCTTTAATCTATCAAAGCAACACTGTAGGCATTATACCTGCTTAATTTGATGGAACTGGTTATAGTGTCTGGGGCCCCATGCACCAAACAAATGGTCTCTATGAGATCAACTGATTAAAAAAAGTGAAGGTTTAGTCCACTGTTTCAACAGAAGTACCTCTAGTGGTTGGCAGTATGATAGCCACTAGACAGGATAACTCTGCAGAACAGCAATGTTTTCAGCGGCAGGGGACATGGCATCCATGCCACTTTGTTGAGATAAGGTGGTCTGGGTGCCTGTAGTGTTCCTACAGATGTTCACTGTCAAGGAGCATTAATTACCAGTCAATCATCATTAATTGGCCTATCAGAGTACCATTAAGAGTCAAATGACTTAAGTTGACTAAAGTTTACTTTAGAACTTCTGTGAATCTGTCATGAAAAAGCATACTATAGTTACTCATACCACTTCAACTTCAATGAAGTGGTCTGGGTGCATTGGATATGCCATGACCTTTGAATTTTTTTTGAGGTCTAGGTGCTGTGGGCATGTGGTTTTAACCCTTAATTTTAAAACATAAGAGTTTTGTAACGATAATGTTTACATTAAGTGACACTGTAGGCACTACAAACCCCTGGTTCTGTCCCTCCATTCAATTGTAAACCGTTTAAGACTGAAGGAGGGTCTCTGCCTTCCCAAAGCCCCACTCCCACTGAAGGTATTGCTAAGGCAGAGACTACACACTTCCTTGTAGCCTTACCAATTTAGATGAAAATTTAATCCAATCTCAGCTGCCCATTGCTGCTCAGGCAAATGCATTGTCATCAGCTCAAGCAAAGATGATGAGATGCTCAACACTTTTGTTTAGCATTAAAAGCTGTTTAACGCTGAATGGAAGGACAGTGCCAGGGAACTCCAGACACCATAACCACTTTAATGAGATAAAGCAGCTGTGGTGCCTACAGGGTCCCTTTTACTATAGTAAAGAAAAGGGGGATGAGTAAAAGGTCAGAATAAACTAACCCTGAAGTCAAGGGTTGGACTTGATGGGTAAAGATTAGGGCGTAATCTAGTTAAATCGTATATGAAAAATTCCTTAAAGCAGGTATATTGAAAATGAGAACCCAAGTATATTGGAAACTTGGGTTTTCATCTCCAATATACCTGCTTTAAGGATTTTTTTTTTTCATATCCCTTTAACTATAGGCTCCCTTTAAGAATTTGCATTGGGATGGTGTGAAGTGTAGTTTGGCCAATTTTATTCATGTTGATATTATGTTTCGTAATGGATGAAGTAAAGAGGATGCTTCTAAACTAAAAGGTTCTTCTCCTCTCCCCTTTATTTGTTTCAATGTGTTTGTTGTGACCAAAATAAAATACCTGCTACTTGCTAAAGTGCAGTTTTGCATAATTTGTTAAATGTAAGACAGTAGAAAAATATTCCACTTTTGCTTTATTAAAGGAAAACTCCAAACCCCAAGGTGTTTTCTTAATATGGATTTAAAAGGAAGTGATCTAGGTGCATAGTCCTATGTCCCTTAACCCTGCAAAGCTAAATATTGCAGGTTTTTTTTTTTTTTTTTTTTTAAATAAACTGCAATATTTACATTTGAGGGTTAACTCCACCTCTAGTGGCTGCCTACCAGACAGACACTAGAGGGACTTCGGGATCATTAGGCGACTTTTGGTCGCCTAAGTGATGCTAGACATCACCACGCTATACATGAGAACATCTAGCTTCATGTAAAACCCCATAGAAAAGCATTATACATGCTTTCCTATGAGGGAAACTCTAATGGGAGTGCGGGGGAGGGATATCAGCGTTGGACTCCGGTATGTGACAGAATGCTTTTCACGGAGAAGCATTGGATTGGCCAGGAGGTCATCACTAGTGATAATCTCATGGAGGTGAAGCAGAGCTACAAGAAGAAAACCTTCTGGTTCCTGGATTACTGGTAAGTAACCGTTTTTGTTTTTTTAGATTTAGGGGGAGGGAAAAAGTGTAATTGAGCAAATAATCATTCTAATGTATTCACTGAACACCCTGAAATGTTCCTTTAGACTTTGCACAGACTTTCCACAAATTGGAAGAACAATATTTGCCAAATATTGATTTATAAAAATATGATTGCTATAAATCCATAATAAAAGGAAATGGAAATATCTTAATGGCAATGTCAAGCATGTGGTATTTTAAGAGTTAGAATTAAAATAAACATGAAATATGGGTTGATAATTTGATGTGTTAAAATAGCACATGTAGTAAAACAGGTGATAAACTGTGGCATAAAACTACATTTGTGGTCAGAGCTGCAATCAGAAATTTTTGGGCCCCCATTACACAGGCTTTTAAGCCTGCCCACGGCCCTGCTTACAAGGATGCAATTTGTGTAGAGTGGACATAGTGTGTGTATTGTGAATGAAGTGTGTGTGTCTTAGTGCATTTGTAGTGGATGTAGTGTGTCTGTGTAGTGGATGCAGTGTGTGTATGTATGTATGTATATCTATCTATATCTACACATACATATATACACACAATGTGTGTTTGAATGTAAGCTTGTTTTTGTATTGAGTAAGTGTGTGAATGTTGGTGTTTGAATGCTGGGGTACATTTGTGTGTAGGGTGTGCATACACAGACCTACAAACTGACAAACATGCAAATACACACGGACACACAGATACTCAGACACACTGACACGTTACACACACGATACATGGTTAAACACACAAGGATTCACACGTATTACCACTTACACACATAGATACACGGACACTCAAAATAGCTAAATTAATAAAATTCTGTTAATTTTTAGTTTGGCTACTTTGTCCTTAAATTTTAAATTTACTATGCATTCCCAACAATTCTCAGTTGGTGAATAAACCTGCTTTTGTTAGAAATGAGCAGGATGATATAAGAAAGCTTAGAGAACTGGGTTGTTACGTTAAAGCGTCACTGTCATAGTCTGGGGACTTTGCAGAATTTGCAGGGGGTTGTGTGGCTGGGGGGAGGCATGCAATAGTGAGATTTACTTACCTGAACCTGTCCCTCACAGGTGCCACTATCTTCACCTGGAAGGTCCTATTCAGCTTGCATTCACTAGAGTACAGCATTAAGGTTTATGGAGGAGCCTGCAAGACTGTGGGATCCTCCATAGATGAACAGTCCCTACTTTGTCTCAGTATATCTCTTGACTGGGTTGGAAGGTCAGTGAAATTCCAACAGAGTCCATAGGAGTATGTCATATGAGTACCTCAAGGTTCTACCTTTATGAAATACAAATCTTTCAGGGTGGGTGACAGTGCCTCTTTAAGATCACTTCCACCTTTATAACATTGAGTTCTAGGATTTTGGGGATACTGCCCACACTTCAATATATTACCACAGGAGAGAATAGTTTCCCTTGGACTTCTAACAGCTAATTTATGCTATTTCTGCTGGTCCCTCACCCAGCTTAAGCTATTAAAACAGCTTCCAGCTGCTGTTGGACTACACCTCCCATAATAATCTGCCCATCTATTGCATTTAAAGAGTTTTCGGAGTTTGACAACACTGGCTTGAACAAATAGAAATGAAATCTTACTTATTATCACAGTGACAGCTGCTGATCTCATTTCAGACAACTCTTAAGTGCTTCCACTCATAGAAACATCCTTATGTGCAAGTAAAAATGATTGATGGAAAAATCCATAAGCTATGGTACATTTGCAGTACCATACGTGCAATACAGTGCATGTTGGTGACATTGCATTCACACTTTTGTCCAATGGTCTTCCTAAAAGTGTGCAATGTCATATAATCACAGGGAACATTATCCATGCCACTGCAGATTCCCTTCTTGACAAAGCTCACGCAAAAACACCATACTTTCAATTTTCTGTTTGTTGGGAATAAATATAAATTAGGCCAAAGGTCTGCAAACATTGGCATGTGTGCCATCCAGGGCACATGAGACTGCGTAATCTAAATTAGTGGAAAGATCAGAGAATTTCTGCTATAAAGGAAATTAAATAATTAGAGGCATAGTTTAGTTGTGCAAAAAAGAGAATACATATTTTCTTTCTTTCTCTTGTGGTACTGCATAGATTGCAGTGCTGTTCCTGGTCTGCCACAAGAGGTTGGACTTGGCATACACTATGTTAGTCATCATATAATACGACTTATGCATACTATGTGTATTTTGAGCCGGCATGCATTAATGCCCTCTGACTACATATAGTTATTGAGGTGCAGACAAGCCACATATGAGCAGTAGTCTTTACCCTGCAAAGGAGAAAGGGAGAGGTCTAAAGTGCCCCATGCAACCATCAGTAGCACGAGCTGGTGCCACCGGAGTCTCATAAGAAGCCAAGCAGGGGTGGGAATGGCAACTGTCAAACACTATTTTCATTATGAAATGTTTAACACACACATTTCATAAGATGAGGGTGGGTGAATTTGCAGTGTAGAAAAATAAGATGTGGGTCTGGGGTGCTTTGGTGTCCTCACACTGATCTTCACTACCTATCTTATCCTGGCAGTGCCAATCATCCGTCACAAACGCTCTCTACAAAGCTTTGACAGTACCTTAACGAATGTTTGATTGAAATTGCATAACTTGTTAAAGGGACACTCCAGGCACCCAGACCACTTCTGCCCATTAACCCTGCAACTGTAAATATTGCAGTTTTCATAAACTGCAATATTTATATTGCAGGGTTAACTCCTCCTCTAGTGACTGTCTACTAGACAGCCACTAGAGGGCACTTTCGCGTTTCTAGCACAGCTTTTCTCTGCTATAGCGTTGCTGGACGTCCTCACACGATGTGAGGACCTCCAGCGTCACTAAAATCCCCATAGGAAAGCATTTTCAATGCTTTCCTATGGGGAGGTTGCGTGTGTGGCATTGCCGCGCATGCGCATTAGGTCTCCCCCGGCAGCCGCGCATGCGCAATAGGTCTCCCACGTCGGATGAGGTCGGCGGGGGAGGAGCGTGGGTGGACCCTGAACCAGCGCAGAGGGACATGGGTACAGGTAAGTCACTGAAGGGGTTTTCACCCCTTCAGCAACCTGGGATGGGGGTGGGAGAGGGGACCTGCAGTGCCAGGAAAATGGTTTGTTTTCCTGGCACTGGAGAGTCCCTTTAAAAAAGTAGTTTTCATGTGAATTTTGCTTGCACAGGTGTAAGGTCTTGGTCTTAATCATGTATCTTGATACTTAGCACAGTTCCCAAATTAGTATTGTGCTGTTTATAGTTGAAAGGTGTACAGCATGATTTATTTTTACAAACAAATAAAATTAACTGTTGATAGTGAGATTTTATTATTTAATAAGCAAAGTGTACAAGCATTCACCAACACAGAATGATCGGTATACACAGCATACAACAACAATATGCAGCATTATTTTAGGCATGTTGCATATTTTACATACACTGCATGTTTTTTGTAAATTTTATTTTGAATGTGAGATACAAAAGATATCAACAACTTAAAAGCAGTCATGGGTTATTGGCAATTGCAAAGTACAGATACAGTGTCCCTTTAATCAGCAAAATCCTAATTTTGCATATTGAATCAGTTTTCAGGTAATTGGCTCAATAAAACAAATCACCCCTTTGGACACATACAGTTTTTAGTTTTGCTTGGGTGGCATCTTACAATGGACTTTATGATTAATTTTTACCAGTAGTTCATTCCTCAAATGTATATTTTTGTCATTAAAATTATACACACTGACTCCCTGTTTGGTTACTGTTTAGGTTTTTGTTCAGTGTGTTGTTTCATTGCTGCTTTTCCTTTGGTATTTTGCTTGTAGTCTGCTAGAAATTCTCTAGAGGGTGCTAATGTTTCAGTTCAGATTATTTAGATATTTCTTTAACACACTGACTCATTATTATTTTTAATTGACATTTATATATTATTATTAGCATTCATATAGCACCAACTTATTCTACAGCGCTTTTTAATATTTGAAAGAGGGGAAATTTAAAATCAAAGGAGGCAGTTACAAAACGCTTTAGGAACAATAGCTTGATGAGGACCCTGCTCAAAAGAGCTTACAGTTTTTATATAGCTCCAATGAACCCTTCAGCGCTTTACAATTTTAATATAGGAAAATATCAGCAAATATGGAACAAACTATTACATTTGGTAACAGTAAGCAGTTTATTAAAGACCCTGCTTGAATCAGTTGACCGCATAGAGAAGACAAGGTAGAACAACACAAGAGGGAGGACAACAGGAGGATAAGAGCAACATTCTCAGAAGATAAACACATTGTAAAACATGCTGTTTATATAACCCCTTTACGGTGTCGAATATCATCCAGTAGTATTGCTGTCTTTCAACCCCACCCAACTTTATCCTTCAATAACCCTTATACACTCTATGAATAATGTATGTTGAGGTGTAAGTGTAGGGTTGCTGTATTTCTCATTCAGAGAGATTCTGTGGTTCTGCAGTTGTTGAATGATAGTACCCGTCAGTGTGATTCTGAGATTAATTAGATCCTCCTCTGGTGTTAAAAGGACACTGGCCAAATACAAAATAAATAAAAAATACTTTGTATTAGATATACACCAAATGAAAACTTGAATGCATTTAATTATGTATTTTTTTTTTTCATTGGGCATTGTAGCGAAGCTGTAGTCCTGACAAGGACTTTTCTCAGCTGGATCCGTGGTAACTGAAATTATGGAACAAGGCGCTGTGAAGTGAATAGCTCTATTCCTCCCCAATAACTGGACTACATACAGTTCTGGGAGTACAATTGAGGTTTATTGTGCCACATTCTGCTTTTTATGCACAAACCTCCAGCATGGGGTCTCCATACAAAACAACACAAACCCCTCCCAGGCGTCACTGTGTCTGGGAGATAAATTGTCTCAAAGACTGTTAACTTAATTATCTCTCAGTTAGAGGGAACCAACATAAATATTAAAAACACCCCCAAAATACATTCAAACTACACAGGAACCCCACAAGTCTTATATCTCTAAATAGCCTGGATCTGAGTTCCCAAGTTGTCCAAATAGCACTCAGATCCATTCGGTAGAACGGAATGGCTGTTCGGGTAAAGTTCTGATCGGCCTGCCATGAGGTGGTAGCCCAAAACAATTCCAGGGAAAAAGAGGAAGCTGCTGGTCAACTTGCGTACACCGACAAAGGCTCCCCCTGGCTGTTAGGAAGTGAATGCTCCTCCCAGTCGGTAGTATATTCCTCCCAACAGCGCTCTTCTGACTCGTCTGTGCGCAGAGCAGGCAATGGTACAGTTTTCCGCGAGACAACTTAGCTGAAAGGAGTTCCAGACATTCGACGACCATGTACCGCTGCTTGCATTCGGGAGACAAAATGACCGCCATTCACTAGAGCATGTGTGTTTGGTGATACGAATGGCGGCCACCCAGGGAAAGCACTCAAGCTAATTACGTCTTTGATGTTAACAAGCCAGGGGGTGGTTGGTGTTCGGGAGTGTTAAAGGGGGGGAAATTAGTCTTTGTGAAATGAACAAGGGGGGTATGAACAACCGAACAGAGAGGGGAACAAGTCTGCTAAAGGCATATACCTAAAAACAGCTTGCAAATAATGCAGATTTCTGTTCCGCTGCCTTTGCAAGATCTCACCTACCCCACCCAGACTTTCTGTGGCTGTCCAATCACAGCCTTCCCAATACAGCTCAATAGGAACTCTTTGCAAAACAGGTGCTCTGGGCAATTGCTGCCTCTTGAGGTCAGCTGCATTAAGCTAACAAAGCCAGGAAGTAACAGAACTGATAGTCTGCGTGAAAGCCAGACGGGTGTTACCAGGTTAATTTATAAAAGTGTCAATTTCTATTGAAATCTGCGCTATTTCCAAAATGAAAGAGATGACACACTCTTCACTCATAAAGCTTTTTAGCAAGCTAGCATTGTTTTGGGGTCTGGAGACCAAAAGCTGAATGGTGGGACAGGATCCATAAATCAGGGCTGTCCCACCAAACACAGAAAGAAGAGATATTCCTTTATTATCAGATGCACACACTTCTATAAAAATGAGGCATATCATATTAGCATTACCAAAACGTATTTACTCTAATTTTATGCAGAAATCGGAGCTACATATAATTATTACCAATGATCTTTGGTATTTTAGTTATCTTTGCGTTGTGTTAACTGAGAAGGCAACTAGCAATTTCAGTTACAAGAGACACAGAAGTTTTTTGTTTTGTCTTATTTGTTGATGTACATAGTTTTAATTGTTTGCAGATGCTCTTCCAGTGCATGTTCGGTCTCCCTAAGGCTTATTTTCTATTGGGAATATATAGTGAGCATTAATAGGAAATTAAATCTCATGTGACTACCACCTACTTTACTTCCAATCTCAGAAAGCAACTAATGATAGCCAATGGTCAGAGATGTAATTATCAAGGAACGCTAACCTCTGTTTTATTTTTTACAGTAAATTAAAATTCGTATAGTGGAAGATAAGTTGCTATAAACATAATTGTTGAGTTTGTTTTATTTAAAGCAATCGTCCTACATGAAAGAGGAAGGTCTTGTATATTTATTACTTTTAATTAGCACAGTTGACATTTGATTTAATAATTGAAAATACGGTTAAACTCTTAGCTGCATATTTAGAATATAAATAGATGCTAATTAAACCTGCTATTAAGAATGGCCTTCCACAAAATGAATTGTAGCAATAAATACATGCAGTCATTTCAGCTGTCACTTGCACAGTTACATTGAAGGCAACAAATTATCCCTAAAATTTAGACTGTGCTTAGTTGACCAATCAAGCTGCTAAATTTAGGCCAAAACTCGCAGTTTAGAATTTAGTGCACTCAAAGCAAACCTATTGAATAGAACCAGTTTCCTTTTTTATTTTATGTCTAACTATTTTTGTGACAATTTCAGTGGATTATAATGTATTAAAGGACCGAACAGAAGAACAAAGATCAAATAGTAAGACTTCAACAGGAAATATAAAATATATGTATTTTAAAGGGATTTTTTAATTTTATTTGTTAGAACATACCAGAGCTCCCATACTCCAAATTAGTACCACTGCCAAGTCTGCTTCCTCGCTACCACCAGAGGACTCTGGAGCCCTTCAGATCCAGTCGCCGAAGCTTGACTGAGGTCTCTGAGGGCCTCTTTCAAAGGACCAAGCTGCCATGGTTATAGCTCTGGAGACTCTCTCCCATGTAAAGCAGTGAATATAGCTTTTCCCCACACATTCGTGAAGACTGAATGTAAGGGAGTAGAATTCAGCTTTATTGCAAACAAAACTGCTATTTACACTGAGAAACGCAATGCAATTGCCCTTACAATTGTTCCACCCCAGTGCCACTCTGTCTGAGATCTTTATTGCATCATCCCCAGCTAACTAGATAGACTCCCTGCTGAGCCTTCTCAGACTTGGAGGCAATAGTACAAAATGTGCCTCCAGATCCTGGCACTTTTCAAAAAGAACACAAGTAAGAACCAATGAATTGTCTCTTGTTATATGCTTTTTCTCAGAGACATACCGTATTTTTCCGTGTATTTACCCCTATGTATAAGACATCCCTATTTTTTGAGCCCAAAATTAAGAAATAAATATTTTAAACATCAAATAGAACAACTTTGATATTTTAGAGGTGACTTCTGAGGAGAACAAAACACTTCTGATTCTCATGCCTCCCCTGTGCTATGGTACTCTGTGAAGTTAATGGCTGTGAAGCAAGACCTACCTGAGGTGGAGCATACCTTAATATGGCTGTTCCTTTTATGGTGTGTCATGTCTCTGGAGCTCTGTTGGTGGTAAGCGCTAATGTCTGCTGCAGCTCCCACACATATAGGGACTTCTTCCTCCTTGCCACAGCATTCGGTTTGGCAGGAGGGAATCCAGGTATGTGTATGGACCATGGCACACTGAAACACGGCAGGCCCCATCTTGGCTTAGGCCCTGCGCACAAGTGTTTTTTTTTGTTTGTTTTTTTTTTAAACCCTTGCAATAACATTCCTTGTATAAGACGAAACTCAATTTGAGACAATTTTTTTTGAAAAAAAAACACTTATACAGGGAAAAATAGGATATATATATATATATATATATATATGTTTTTAATATGTTTTATAACTCTGTCAGTAGCACAGAAGAGACCATTGTATCATGTTGCATTCCAATGGGGCAAAAAAATACCCCTCATTATTACTGCACAAAAAACAATACAAGTGGTGTGTATATATAATAGTGACAATAAGCTCTAAACACCTGTGTGGTATCCCCTATACCAACACCGAATACATATAATACAGACACAATAGGGGGAGCAAATAGTATACTTCCCTCGAATATCCGTCAGTTCAGCAAAAACAGAGGGTTATACAATATTGCACACAACTCACAATATTGAATAGAAATATAACATATGAAAAACACACTCACAAGAGTAGAGCCATATATTAAACCTGGCTCTGGTGTGGATAACTAGAGGATCTATAGAAAAAAAGACGAAAAATGGGGCAGACAGTCCACTCACAAAAAAGTGGGTGGAATGCCTAGCCTCATTCAAAGTACCTCATAATGTAAATAGTCACATAGAAGAGGATAAACAACCTTTATTAGAAAAAAATGCTAAAATGGTATATAGTCCAAATACTATTACCGTACACTAAAATAGTGTATTGATTATAAGTTAACCACCAAATTTGTAAAAGCCTGGGAGAGGCTAATCCTGCAAGGTAGGTTTGACTTAATAAAGGTGTAAAAATACAGCTAAAATAATAAATGGGTAACAAAGCAGGTTAGTCTAAATCCATTCTAGGAAAGGACCCAGCTGGGTAATTGGATAGAAAAAGGATAGTCTTAGAGCAGTGTCTGAGAGAATCTGGAAAGGGCAGGGTTAATAGCAACTAATGGGGCGCGCCCAAACTGATATCGAGTAGCTTATACTAAAGAGAAAAGGAGCTAATACCCCATAAAGAGAGGAAAGATAGAAACCCCCCCCCCCTTTTTTGTCACCATAAAAAAACTAACTATCCCAAGAACAAAACTGCTGCTTCGTGGCAGCCTATCCAAATCCCTAAGTCTGTATCAGGAGAAAATATAGGCGCAAACTCATGCGCTGTGGAAACCCAGGTAAATGAGAGATGAGAGTAAAGAAAATCAATTGAGTATAATAGCATCGGCTAAATTAACCACTAAACTTATAAAAGCCTGGGAGAGGCTAATCCTGCAAGGTATGTTTGACTTAATAGAGGTGTAAAAATACACCTAAAATAGTAAATGGGTAACAAAGCAGGTTAGTCTAAATCCATTCTAGGAAAGGACCCAGCTGGGTAACTGGATAGAAAAAGGATAGTCTTAGAGCAGTGTCTGAGAGAATCTGGAAAGGGCAGGGTTAATAGCAACTAATGGGGTGCACCCAAACTAATATCAAGTAGCTTATATTAAACAGAAAAGGAGCTAATACCCCACAAAGAGAGGAAAGATAGAACCCCCCCCCCCGAGTCACCCTAAAAAACTAACTATCCTAAAAGAAACGGCAAAACTAACTGCTGCTTCATGGCAGCCTATCCAAATCCCTAAGTCTGTATCAGAAGAAAATATAGGCGCAAACACATGCGCTGTGGAAACCCAGGTAAATGAAAGATGAGTAAAGAAAATCAATTGAGTATAATAGCATCAGCTAGAAAATATCTCAACGCGCGTTTCGGCGTTTTAGATACTCCTTTGTCAAGAGCTACCTGGTAAGTGACACGGGAAGCAGTTATAAAGGGGATATAGACACACCCTTCAATTAAAGCCCTCCAATCAAAAGACCACAGGTTGTGAAAGAGTGACAGGTGACCTCGCCTGCATATTGAACCAATCGGAGGAGGTGGGAGTGGTCATCCTATTCACTCAGTATACACTAATGGCAAAATAAAAAAAAGTACATGTTGCAATTAAGGCTCAAAGCTAAAGTAAGTATGTTTTTAACAAAAAAGTAACAAAACATCAAAGCAGATTAGCACAGTAACAACATTCATCCAGAAAGGAGTATAAGGATGCAAGGTTAAATGATAATAAAAATAATAAATATTCAGTTCAAAGGCTAGAAAGAACGGCAAATAATCGCTTTAAGGGTATATTGAGAAATAATAAAAGCCGTATAAGCCTTACTAAACTCTAGGTGTTATATCAAACAAGACTTTAGAGAATAAAAAACCATATAGACCTTGCTAGACGCCAAGTGTGTATTGAAAATAAGCTGTTTAAAGGAGACTCACACCATAAAAAGGTTGAGTTTAATACCTGTGTATATAAACGATTGACTGGTATATATATATAAATATGTTATATTGTATATAGACAGGGCTTGCTAAAGAGTAAAGTAACTCAAAAGGAAGGGTGACAGAATATCCTTTATATGACACATGTTAACATGGATGTCCCATGATCCACTTGCCAGTATTAAAGGTTGTAACCATACATTGTATACTAAAAATGATCACAGGGAAAGATGAGTCTGCCAATAGGAAGACCGATTATATTATATGTATTATGCAATATAGGAAAAAAAACAGATTATAAAAGATATCATTTTATTTAGTTAAAGTTAGATGAAATTTATTAAAGGCAAAGAGCACTAAATAATTCAGATAAATGGAGAAAAATAAAACCCCTCATTGAGTCCTCTTGGATTGAGGGTATTAAATTTATAAATCCACCTGCATTCTTTCTGGCGCAGAATTTTGTCAAAATCACCCCGTCTCTGATCACGTTTCACAAGTTCTAAGCCACAGAAACGTATATCTTTTGATAACCCACCATGTTGTTCCTTTAGATGTCTTGAAATGGGGGTATCAAGTCAATTTTTAGGTGATCTAACGTGTTCTTTAAATGGACGAAAGGTTTTACCCACATACATCAACTTGCAACTACAGGTAAGCAGGTATATAACCCCTACTGAGTTGCAATTAAAGAAGTGGGTAATCTGGAAGGATTGTTTGCCTTCACTATCCATCACCTCCTTTGAATCTCTAAGGATAAATTTACAAGCCACACATCTCCCACAGCCAAAAGAACCTACAGGGATTTTTCTACCGAGCCACGTACTGTTAGAAGGTTGTTTAGAAGTAAAGTGGCTAGGTACGAGAATATCACGGAGGTTCCTACCTCTTCGGGCTGTAATGGAGACTTGTGGGCCCAAAATCTCCTTAAGTAGAATCGGCCAGAACTTTTGCATCGAGCTTTTAACAGTATCCCAACCAGTATCGAATGTACCAATCATTCTTATGTTTTATCCGAAGTCTTCATCGATGTTGGGAAGTTGGACAAAAAGGCCACCCTGTCAGCTTTCAAAGCTCTGTTATATGCCTTCTTCAAACATCTATTAGGATAACCCTTCTCTTTGAACTGCTGTCTCAAGATTTTAGCTTTAATCTGGAAGTCCTTGAGATCCGTGCAATTGCGTCGTAGTCTAAGGTACTGTCCAGTGGGAATACCTTGTTTCAAAGGTCTTGGATGACAGCTATTCCATTTGAGAAGTGAATTGGATGCAGAGGGTTTCCTAAACAGAGTAGTGACAAGGGAACCATTCTTAGAGATAGAAATCGTAAGGTCCATAAAATTCAAAGAGGACCCTCCAAACTCTGCGGTAAATTTGAGGTTTCTTCCAACTAGAGGATCTATTTTGGGTGATCCAAATCCCTTTGTGTGTGGTCTGGATGCCTAATTCAGATGCTTGGACTGGATTCTTGTGGTAGTCACCTCCCAGCAGTGAATAGCAGGAAATCCAAATAGGTAAAAAATGAAAATTTATTAAGTATACAGATAAAAATAAATGTAGATAAAATTATATGCTATAAAACATCGCCAAAACGCGTTTTGCCCAACGTGGCTTCTTCAGTTGGCTTTATCAATGTTCCCAAGTCCATGAAAACCTTTTATATATTCCCTGCATTCTGATTTCGCGATCTTTTTTAGTTAGTGTAACCCTAATGTTTGTTATGCTAGATAGCACAAAGTGAGGTAGAAAAACCAGAGCTTAAAGTGACAGTGCATGAGATGGTGAACATAAACAGATATTATTTAAAATGGCAGTATTATTTTATCGGGTTTGTTTTTATAATTTAGAAAGTAAGATAATAGATACAGAAGTTGTCTTATTAATACACCTGTACATATGGCACATGTACATATTGCATTATAAGGAAGATTATTCAATAATAAATAGTTTAAAAAATACTGAAAGATTCTAAACTAATTAAAAACAATTTAATAAAAAATAATTACAGTAAAAAATGGCACAACTCAAAATCTTGATTAAGACCGTATGGGATCAACGTGTTAAAATTAAAAATACACTTCATTTCCTCTTCTCCTATTTTCTTGTTAAAATCTCCCCCCCTCCAATCTTTCTGTACTAACTTAATGGCACAGAAGAACATATTTCTAGGGTCATTATCATGATGCATTTTAAAATGATTTGAAACACTACGTGTTTCCATGCCCTTCTTAATGTTCCTTATATGTTCTGCTATGCTTATGTATAACCATCTAGTAGTTCTTCCTACATAAATGAGGTCACAGGGTCATTTTAAAATGTAAATTACGTTTTTGGAGAAACAGGTTAACTGATTATTAATATAAAATTTCTTATCCTTTTTATAATGAAAAGAAGTAATATGCCTTTTTTTTCTGATTTGTTTCTCTACAAGCCAGACAGGATCCACAACCATAAAAACGTTTATTACTATTTTAAAAATGCTCTGTTTGTTTTGTCTTAAAACTACTTTTTACTAACAACTTTTTCATGCTTATGTATAACCATCTAGTAGTTCTTCCTACATAAATGAGGTCACAGGGTCATTTTAAAATGTAAATTACGTTTTTGGAGAAACAGGTTAACTGATTATTAATATAAAATTTCTTATCCTTTTTATAATGAAAAGAAGTAATATGCCTTTTTTTTCTGATTTGTTTCTCTACAAGCCAGACAGGATCCACAACCATAAAAACGTTTATTACTATTTTAAAAATGCTCTGTTTGTTTTGTCTTAAAACTACTTTTTACTAACAACTTTTTCATATTTTTACAACCCCTCTGTACTATCTTTGGCTCAGGGGGCAAAATCTGCTTTAAGATCGGATCGTCTTGTAGAATCGACCAATATATTTTTTAATAATTTTCCTTATTTTCACATTGTTCCCACTATAATTACATATAAAGGGAATATTACTTGTGTTCATATTCATCAATTGTCTTCTCTTCTTTGATATGTCCCCTTTATGTCTAATAAGATCTTTTCTATTGGTTTTCCTAACATCTTCCATACAAGCCGATAGTTCCATAGCATCGTAGCCTCTTTCTATGAATTGTTGTTTTATTTTCTCTGCTTGTGATACATATTCACTGTCTAGCGTGCAGTTTCTCTTTATTCTTAAAACTTGACTCTTTGGGGCATTCGCCAACCAGGGGGTATAATGGCACGTTGAAAACGCAGCAATAGGCTCGATCACGTGGTCTGACCACGCAGACATACTCCTATCTATCGAAATCCCACACACAACCAGAAACTGGTCCTGGAGACTCAACCCCACACACCTCCACAACGCACTCATAAGGGACATAATTAGACAGGACATCACTGATTACTTCGACATCAACAAGGACTCCGTCTCCTCTGCGAGCACCTTGTGGGTGTAAACAAAACCCCACTCCCGCCCTGACAGCCCAACTTCAAACACAAAGACAGGAAATACAACGATTCATGACACAGGATTTAAAAAAGCAATTTAGTGGACAAGACAGATGTTTTAAGAAAAGTCAAATAAAGCTGACCCACTCCTAGCTCGCAGGCTCTGTCAAAGGATACAAAATAAACACATATTACACCTGACACCTGACGGCCAGACATACACCCAGACCAAATCGCGACAATATTTAAAAACTACTACTCCTCTCTATACGATCACAATCCTCACACTCCTCGGCAACATTCCGCCTCCACGCATGCAAAGATAGAGGAATTCCTGAGTCACATCCCCTTGCCCACACTGGCAGAGAAGGGAGGGCCCGGACGGGTTCTCCGGCTTATACTATAAGACGTTCCGGACACTACTCCTCCCACATCTTCTGTCCTTGTTTACCTCCTTTATGGGTGGAGACCTTCCGCCCCCAGACATGCTCCAGGCCAACATCTGTCTACTCTCGAAGCCACACAAGAATCTCCTAGACGCAGGCCACTATCGCCCAACATCATTAATTAAACACAGATGTTAAACTATTCACAAAAATACTGGCCAACCGCTTTCACCCCTTTCTCCACCTAGACCAGCTTTGTTTTATTCCTCAATGCCAAGCATGCGATAACACTAGAAGAACGTATGACCTGATTTGGACAGCAAGTCAACGGCGGAGGCCAACCCTCCTGCTCTCCCTTGACGCTGAAAAGGCGTTCAACCGCATACTCTGTCTGGCCTTACTTGATTGCAACTCTGGAAAAACTTGGCTTCCCGGCGATTTTCGTGGAGGCTATTAGGGGACTATATTCCCGCCCAACCGCGCGCCTCCTGATGCCGAACACCCAACACCCATCATTCACAATCCATAATGGCAAACGCCAAGGATGCCCCCTATCACCACTACTCTTTGCCCTATCCCTGCAGCCCCTCCTTATGAAACTCAGACAGGACAAATCTATAACAGGGATAAAAATTTGCAACGAGGAATATAAAATTGCAGCATACACGGACGACTTATTGCTAACACTTACCAACCCCACTTCCTCCTTGCCCCCACTTCTGGCCCTTTTCGATGATTATGCAGATGTATCGGGATATAAGTTAAACCTAAGTAAAACAGAAGCTCTACCAATCCACATCCCAACCAAGATGCTCTCAGAACTGAAAGGGGACTAACCGTTCCACTATGAGACCCAGAGTATACACTTTCTAGGCACACACCTATCGACAGACCTACAACTCACATACCGAATTAATTATCTCCCACAGCTTGAAAAAGCACACCAGGACCTGGAGGCCTGGCAAAATTTGTCCATCTCCTGGCTGGGTTGTCTGGCATTTGTTAAAATGAACCTGATTCCTTTATCTGTTCCAGACTCTCCCCATCCCCATATCCAGGTCAGATTTCAAGACCCTGCAATCCCGAATGACAGATTCATATGAGCAGGGAAAAGAGCCAGAATCAAATAATCAACATTATATGTACCACATAAGAGGGGCTACCCAACCTTTGGGACTATTTCTAAGCTGCCCAACTGGCACAGATACAAAATTTGCAGGCACCAGCAGGGCTCAAACTGTGGGTTGACTTGGAACACGATATGTTCGGCTGTGACTTCCCCTCTCTATACATATGGCTACTGAAACACGACAGGCCGTACATCCCCCCCCCACTTCACCAGCAATAACGCACTCAATCCAAATATTGGATAGGATGACCCGCAATCATGACATCATTACCCCATCCCCATTAACGCGAGTCTTACGGAACAATCCATTTCAACCAGGTATGTCACCACAACACTTCGCACGGTTCAAAGATAAAAAAATCTGGTTAGATTCTATCACTTCTTCCGGGGACAACAACTCACACCCTTTCCGGACCTACCACGCACCACTCCCCTTACCACTTTTGACCATTTCAGGTATCTTCAGATCAGGAGCCTACTATCCAACCCAACCAACCGTAAAGCAGCCACCTCCACCCACACCGCATTCGAGAGGATTTGCATACACACACCCATACAACGGGGACAAATCTCAACTATATACAGTATCCTACACTCCACTAACTCCCCTGATGCCCTCTCATATGTGGTGGCTTTTGGGGAGGGACATAGGCCCTCCTGAGGACCCTTCCAACTGGAGGGAAATCTGGGAGGCCTCTGCATCAATCTCTATCTGTGTCACCCACATGGAACAGGCGTACAATACAATGTTCCACTGGTACATTACCCCCCTCAGGCTAAAACAAATGGCCTCTCATCATTGCTGGAAGGGTTGTGGGGAACAGGGAACCTGCCCCCATTTCGCCCAACTCTGGAGCAACATGGTCCAAACCGTCAATAGGACGTTACACAGCAATCTCCCAATGGAGATTAAGGATTTGGCTCCTATCCAAATCCTTAACCAGTGCTCAAAACAAACTCACTGGCCACTCTGAGAGCCACAGCTATGCACTGGGGAAGTAACAAACTCCCTTCCACACCGGAAGTACTTCGGAAAATCGAGGAGGCTATAGAGATGGAAAAACTGTCGGCCCTGGTCCATGACATCTCGAAATCTTTCCATAGAATATGGGATCCGTGGATGCTGGGATTCACACCTGTACTTTGACAGACATGAGGGCCTACTCTCCCCACCTATACTTATCTCTCTTTTCCCTTGCTCCTTTTTCCACGTCATCTTCTCCCCCTCTGCTCCACCCACCCCTCCTATTCCCCTATCACCCACCCCTCTTTTTTTCTTTCCCTTCCCCACCTACAGATACTCTTATGACCCGCCATGACTAACACAGGAAAACACTCAACTCAAACATAGAAAAATAAGGTAGAACACTATTGAAGGGGCAATTTGGAGGGAGCAGAGGGTGGATGGGGACAACCGGGACAAACTGGGAAACTCCCTTCCACGCAGAGTGCCTGCCGCAATTTATACTGTTGTTAAAACATACAATCCAGAATGTTACCTCAACACATTTGAAAAGGGGTAGCTCTGATTCAGGGGTCGTGACTTGGAGATCATCAAATCTGGTGGTCTCAGCCAATGCAATGCTTCACATAGGAAAGCATTCGGAGGCTATTAGGCATGTGCAGCAACACGCTGCGCAAGTCAGCATCAATTAATTAATTGAATCAATTAATCTCAATGAGGAACTTTCAGTGTCTCCAAATGAAGCATGTAGATGCTGAACATCAGTGCTGCACATTGTGCAGATGAGTGACTGCCACTAGAGATGTTCCTAGGCAGTAAAATAAACACTGCCTTTTCTCGGAAAAGGCAGTGTTTACATTAAAGAGCCCGCAAGGACAGGCAGTAGACACCAGTACAACTACGTTAAGCTGTAGTTGTTCTGGTGACTATAGTAGGGATCGACCGATATTGATTTTTTAGAGCCGATACCGATACCGATAATCTGCGAACTTTCAGGCCGATAGCCGATATCTTGCCGATATTCTGTACATTTACTATTTTGAATAAATAAACTAATTCGAAAGGTAAATGCACAAAATATACATGCCACATGTAGTGGATGAAGTGTGTTTAGACAGGGGAACTGTGTGTGTTTGTGTAGTGTGTGTGTGTGTGTGTAGTGGATGCAGAGTGTGTGTATATAATGCAGTGTTTATGTAGTGTGTGTGTATAATGCAGTGTGTTTTTGTGTGTGTATGTAATGCAGTGTGTGTGTGTTTGTGTAGTGTGTATGTATGTAATGCAGTGTGTGTTTGTGTAGTGTGTGTTTGTGTAGTGTGTATGTAATGCAGTGTGTGTGTCTGTGTAGTGTGTATGTAATGTAGTATGTGCACTGTGTTTGTGTAGTGTGTATGTAATGCAGTGTGTGTATGTAATGCAGTGTGTGTGCAGTGTAGTGTGTGCAGTGTGTCTGTAATGCAGTATGTGTGCAGTGTGTGTTTGTGTAGTGTGTGTTTGTGTAGTGTGTATGTAATGCAGTGTGTGTGCCTGTGTAGTGTGTGTGTATGTAATGCAGTATGTGTACTGTGTTTGTGTAGTGTGTATGTAATGCAGTGTGTGTGTAGTGTGTGTTTGTGGTGTGTGTGTAGTGTCTGTCTGTGTAGTGTGTGTATGTAATGCAGTGTGTGTATGTAATGCAGTATGTGTTTGTGTGTGTGTGTGTTTGTGTAGTGATGTAATTTGTGTAATTTATTTTAATATTTTTTTTAATATTTAAAAATGTTTTTATTTTTTGTTTAGTCCCCCCTCCCTGCTTCTTACCAGGGAGGGGGATATAGTATCCCCTGGTGGTCCAGTGGCTTGTTAAGTACAGTGGTGGCTCAGCAGCAGCAAGCGCTGACTTACCTTGCAAGCAGCTCCAGCAGCTCCCTGTGTAAATCTCGCGGCTCTTAGTGCCGCGCGGAGCGTTGCCATGGTAACCCGTGGCAACGCTCTGCGGCCGCGGGTCTCGCGAGATTTACACAGGGAGCTGTAGGAGCTGCATGCAAGGTAAGTCAGCGCTTGCGGCTGGCCCCCACAGGACCGCCGGGCTTATAATGGGCCCGGCGGCCCTGTTATATATTATCGGCAATATCGGTATCTGAATTGGCCGATACCGATATTGCCGAAAATACCAAATATCGGCCGATAATATCGGCCAGACCGATAATCGGTCGATCCCTAGACTATAGTGTTCATTTAAATATTTGCTCATTTTAAAAAAAATACCAGCTAAGATCATAAAATGAATAGGGTTATTCACTAATTGATTATTCAAGATGACTTCAAAATGAAGTTCAAATTTAATGTCAAATTAGCTAAATTGAAAACAATTTCTGTCAGATTTGCTTTCACTTTGTCTACTCTGACCTTAAATTTGAAAGTACCTTTGAAATCTCATCTTAGTAAATAACGTTGTAATTGCTAATGAGTTACTCCAAGCCCCATGACCATTTCAGTGATTTAAAGTGGTCATGGTGCCTCGTGTCTGTATGTGCAGCATTTTCCTATGAAACACTGAAATATGTAGAATATCATCATTGGGCATCATTAACCAACATAGAACAAGAGTTTTGGGCTGGCTAATATCGATTCTGTGCAAATTAACACTGGTCTTCCAGTCCTCCCCTCAGCCTACCCTCCCTGAATTCCCCCCCTTCACCAGACATAACCTCCCTTGCCAGTGACATAAGCAAAAGAAGATATGACTGCAGGGAGAACTTGCTTGGACACTGCAGCGGGGGCTAGATTTGTTTTTTTGTTTGTTTCATCTTTGGGGCAACAGACCAGGCTAGCAAGGTTTACTCCAGTCAAACCAGTGTTTTCTTACAGTTTTGTTTAACCCCTTAAGGACGGAGTCAAATGTACACGTTGTGAACGAAACAAAATGTAAAGAAAACCTGGCATTTGCGCTACATGTCTGTCCAACCGTAATTCACCTCTTTCATAGTAAATACACCCACCCTTATTATATATCATTTTATTCAGGGGAAACAAGGCTTTCATTTAATATCAAATATTTAGCTATGAAACATAATTTAATATGAAAAAAACTGGAGAAAATAAGATTTTTTATTTTTTTATTTTTTTTTAGTTCTACATGACATTTTAACTGTCAATGTCTTAATACTGTTTGCTTTTACTGCAATAAAATACACATTTGTATTCAGCAAAGTCTCACGTGTAAAACAGTACCCCCTATGTACAGGTTTTATGACATTTTGGGAAGTTACAGGGTCAAATATAGCATGTTACATTTGAAATTGAAATTCGCCAGATTGGTTACGTTGCCTTTGGGACTTTATAGTAGCCCAGGAAAGAAATTTACACCCATAATGGCATACCATTTGCAATAGTAGACAACCCAAGGTATTGCAAATGGGGTATGTCCAGGGGAGGGCTGGCAGCCTTAGGCCTGGGGGGCAAAATCAGTCAAGTGGCCCATTGCACCACCAAATCAGTGCAATGGTGCCCACCTTTTCCTGGTTTTATAACGGATATTGATGTTATGCTAATCACTAGCTCTTTGCCATACCCGCTCCTTCACAGCTCTGACTTTCAATGTTGTCAAAGCGCAGGCTGAGAATCTCTGAGCGTGTGCTCTGACTCACTAACTGAGCGCCGGAACCACGAGGGAGAGGCTATAATCTGACTGCACCTACTACTGGTGCGTACCAGTGGACCACCAGCGAATCGTTTAAATTGAATAGGCTGGTGTCCCCAACTTGTGAGCTGTGTTGTCCGCCGGGCGCCTCTGTTGTGATGGCACCCTGCGTGACCGCACAGCGTGCACACCCCAACGGCTGGCCCTGCTGACACACACTGATGTTACTACTTAGAAATCCCTCAATATTAATACAGACATCAGAGTAAACACCAATAAACTGTGGAAACAGAGCTGATCCCCTCAAATTTATAAAGATTTGCTTACTGGATTTGTTGTAAGATTAAATCATGCCTCCTCCTCTCTCTCTCTCCCATGCGCTGCTCTGTAAGCTGGGAGGAAGTGAAGAGTAATCACAATCTCCCAGCACAGTGGCACCTGTGGCTGCATGGGGAACAGCTGTATTTCCCGCCCCCCATGTGACATCACAATGCCCCACCTATATGAGCTGCCATACGAACTAACGCCAGTGCTGCTCACAGTGTGTGTTTACATTAAAAAGCCTGCAGGGACCGGCTATAGACACCAGAACCACTTCATTAAGCTCCAGTCGTTCTGGGAAATATAGTGTCCCTTTAATGTGAGGTAAATTATAGATTAGTGTCACTAATAATATACTAGATTGCCTACTTACAACCAAATGAGGATAATGATGGGCTGCAGTTTGGCTCCACTGGTCTGGTGTAGAACAGGATCTCTGGAGGCTGTTTGCAACTGTGATCACAAAATTCAATGTTCTGAGAGAATTGGAAGCAGCTCCATTTTTTGGGGGCCCCTTACACAGCTCAAGGTCTGGGCCCCAGGGCCTGACGGTGAGTATGCGCACAAGGCCCACTCATAAGTCCACTTATATGTTCCACCCACCCATGAGTTCGCTCACAGGAAGTGGAGTGTGTAGGGGATGTGTTATGTGTTATTGTAGAGGATCTAATATGTGTGCTTATGGTATGTAGTGTATAGGGATACCAGTTTGTGTAGGTGATGCACTGTGTTTGTGTGTAGTGGAAACAGTGTGTATTTGTGTATAAGGGATGTATTGTGTGTTTCTGGTTGTGTGTAAGGGATGCATTGTGTGAATCTGTGTTTGTATGCATAAGGGATACAAGGTATCCCTTCACAGAGCGCTCAGGCGGCTGCAGCATTTAAAGGGCCGGCCCTGCAGTGGCCGGTCCTGACAGAATTTAGGGCGGCCTGGGGGGCAATTGCCTCCCTGCCCCCCGGCCCAGCCCGCCCCTGGGTATGTCCAGTCTTTTTTAGTAGCCATTTGGTCACAAACACTGGCCAAAGTTAGCGTTAGTATTTGTGTGAAAAATGCAAAAAACGCCAATTTTGGCCAGTGTTTGTGACTAAGTGGCTACTAAAAAAGACTGGACATACCCCGTTTGCAATACCTTGGGTTGTCTACTATTGCAAATGGTATGCCATCATAGGGGTAATTTTCATTCTTGGGCTACCATAGGGTCTCAAAGGCAACGTAACCAATCTGGCGAATTTTAATGTGAAAAAAATGAAACGCAAGCCTTATATTTGACACTGTAACTTTTAAAAACACCATAAAACCTGTACATGAGGGGTACTGTTGTACTCGGGAGACTTTGCTGAACACAAATATTTGTGTTTCAAAACAGCAAAAAGTATCACAGCAATAATATCGTCCGTGTAAGTGCTGTTTGTGCATGAAAAATGCAAAAAACTGGACTTTTACTGGCGATATCATCGTTGTAATACATTTTACTGTTTTGAAACACTAATATTTGTGTTCAGCGAAGTCTCCCGAGTAGAACAGTACCCCCCATGTACAGGTTTTATGGTGTCTTGGAAAGTTATAGGGTTAAATATAGTGCTAACAAATTAAATTCCCTTTACTTTCGGCATGGGTTGTCAGGCAGGTCCCGCTAATTGTAATTAATTAAGATACCTAATTACGTAAAAATATTACATAAATATATATGTAGAATTAATATATGTATATATATGTATGTGAATCTATATGTGTGTGTGTGTATATATATATATATATATATATATATAAAAATAATTTTTTTTGTAAATATTTTTATTTATATATAGGTGTGTATATATATAGTGATACATACGTATATATTTATGTATGTAGATATATATATTATTTCGTTCTACGTGTATTTTGATATAAATATATATATATATATTAATATCACAATACAGTTAGAACGAAATAACACACATCTATATATATATTTTTTTTTTTTCGTATATAAATTTTTATTTTTCATTTTTTTTTAAAAAATTCCATCCAAATGCAATCTCATAATTAGATATTACATTATGGTGCAATATTTTACTTTACAATAGATTTTATAGTTACACATAAGTTTAATATAACCATAATTCATACACTTGAACATTAGCTGCATTATCAACATTCAAACCAGAGAGAAAAAAAAAAAAGAAATAGAGAAAATAACATACATTTCCTCTATCTTACTGTCAGTTCACAATGGTGCTACCTAAGTATGGCTATCTATAGGAGGGGGGTTGTGTTTTTACGGCTAAGATATCTAACCCAAGGGGCCCAAGTTTCATCGTATTTCTCTCTGGCTAACTTATTTGAGGCTACCCCAGCTTCCATCCTACGTTGATAATCTATTTGTATACATATGTCATGCCAGTTTAACGAGCCCATGTTTCTCCAATTTCTGGCCATAACTATTTTTATTGCCATAAAGGAGTGAATCATAAGGATTTTTTGTTTTATGTTAACTATTGGCACATCTAAATGAAACAGGAACATTTGAGCCGTGATAACAGTTTGGACCTTCAAAATAGAGTCCACCAAATCCGATAAAGTCGTTTTCATAGATTTCAACTCCTCACAATCCCACCAGATGTGGGAGAAAGAACCTAACTCCCTACCACATCTCCAACAATCTGGTAGAATTGTGGGTTGAAATCTCTGGAGGCGAGTAGGCACCAGATACCAACGATACACCAATTTAAAATACACTTCCTGTATATTCACCCCATGTATATGTCTTTTTACTGATTGTAGGGCCAAAATCCAATCTTCAACCGAGGATGAAAAGTGGAGTTCCTGCTCCCAGTTATTCATTGCCGATGCTTTAACTATTTGCCTTTGGCATCTTGTAAATTGATTAAATCTAGATGCAATTTTTTTTTTTATAGTGAAATGCTACAAACTGGTCTAATGAAGAAGTTTCCGAGAAAACATTTCCCATAATAAAGGATTTTATTCTTAGGTAATTAAATATTTCCTTCGAAGGGAGATTATAATTGAACTGTAACATTGCGAATGGCAATATTTTGTTATCATTTAAAAGTTCCGCAATTTTTACAATTCCACACTTTTCCCATTCTTGAAAATTTATATTTTTTTATATAATATTTTAGACATATTAATGGGGCATTTCTTGATATATATTTAGTTCCATATTTTTTTTTTAGATATTTTACAATATAGATCATTGTGTTATTCATCGGATTACTAGATCTTATATTATTTACGAATTCACTATCACACCACCAGAGAAATAAAGGTTCAATATTACAGAGATCCGTTTTTTCGATATCTAACCAAACTGGTCTTGACATTGTAAAATTATCACATTTAATTAAGTGTGCTACCATATTGTTCATATATAATTTCTGTATATCTGGGAAAGAAGTTCCCCCTTCCTTCCAATGTCTCTGTAAAATTTCCAGTGATACTCTAGGTCTCTTGTCTTGCCATATATAATCCGAAACCTGTTTTTGAAGACCGCGCATCGTCTGGAGCGATACCCTCAGCGGGAGGTTACTAAACAAAAATGTCAATTTGGGGAGTAAATAAGAGTTTACCGCTTCGATTCTTCCCAGCCAGGATAATTCCAGTCCCTTCCAATTTTTTAGAATACTCCTAAATTGGGTAGCTATTTCTGTATAATTAAGTTCACCAATTTCCCTATAATCCAGAGATAGTCTTACCCCTAAATATTTTATATTCCTTGCTTCCCAATCACATTTAAATTCCTTTTTAAGTTTTTTTACCCCAGGCCCATTTAGACCTCTTGTCAGGATTTGTGTTTTTTTTATATTTATTTTATAGCCTGAATATTTACTATACTCATTAATAAGACAAAATACAGCTGGAATAGATCTAATAGGGTCTGTAAGAGTCAATAGAACGTCGTCTGCATAAAGTGCAATTTTGTTCTCCAGACTGTTCACTTTTAGCCCGCTAATATCATCATTCTGTCTAATCACGGCTGCCAGCGGTTCTATAGAAAGGATATATAACAGAGGTGCCAAAGGGCAACCCTGTTGCGTCCCATTTCTAATTGGGAACCAGTTTGATTGAAACATAAATCCTGAAACTCTAGCTTGAGGATCTTTATATAACGCCATTGTACAATCTTTAAACAGACCCTCTATGCCGAAGGCCTTCAAAACCTCTTCCAAGTACTTCCAATTAACACGGTCGAAGGCCTTCTCGGCATCAAGGGTTATCATAGCGAAAGGGGACAGACTTTGGTCCGCATGGTATAAAACATTCAGTAATTTCCTAATGTTGTCCGATGTACCTCTGCCTTCTACAAATCCACTCTGATCTATATGAACAATATCAGGTATATTTTGTTTGAGTCTATCGGCCAAAATTCTAGAATATACTTTAATATCTAGATTAATAAGAGAAATTGGTCTATAGTTCGAAGTATAAATTGGATCCTTATCTACCTTAGGGACTGGCGTTATAGAGGCCTGGAGTAATTCGGATGGGATAGTTTTATGGCTGACAAATTCTTTAAATGTCTTCAGTAAATATGGGGAAATTATATCATTTAACTTTTTATAGAAAATCGATGAAAATCCATCTGGACCTGGTGCTTTGCCCGGTATTAATACTTTAATGGTATCGCTAATCTCCTGGATGGAAAATGGAGCATTAAGCTGATTTAATTTCTCAATAGATATCTTTGGCAAGCCTAATTTATCCAGGAAATTCTTTTAAATTTTTAATTTTAAATTATATAAACTTTTATAATATTCTTCAAATGCATTTGCTATTTGGGTTGGTGAAAAAAGTTTTTTATTTCCAGCTATTATATAGTTTATAGATTGAAGTTTATTTTATTTTTTTTAATTTATTTGAAAGATTTTTCCCTGTTTTATTATTTCCATAATACCATCCCTGCTTTAATACTAACATTGCTTTATCAATTTTTTCTTGAGTTCTTATTAGTATTTTTTTCCTGATCTCCTTAATATCCTCCAGAATTCTATGGTCTAAAGTAGTCTTATGTAAACGTTCTTGTTTTGCTAAGTCAATATTAAGCTCATTCAACTCTTTTCCCTTCTTTTTCTTTATATTGGCACCCAATTTTATAAGACATCCTCTCATATATGATTTAAAAGTACACCACAGCATAGCTTTAGAGACGTCCCCTGTATCATTGATTTCCAAAAATTCTCTGGCCTGAATACGCAGTTCTTCTACATTACTTTCTGATTTTAATAGAGTTTCGTTTAGTCGCCATCTATCTCTGCGTTTATATTCCACATTATTATTTATGACTAAACTTACTGGTGCGTGATCAGACCATGTTATGGGCCCAATTATCACTTTATTAACTCGCTCTAAAGTTTCAGATTTAACCAAAAAATAGTCGATTCTAGTATATGTCTGATGACCATTTGAATAAAACGTATAATCTCGCTCTTCTGGGTTAAATGTTCTCCAGGAATCATATAAACAATTTTTTGCTAAAAAAGTCTGCATCATTGATGGACCTATTTTTTGATTATCCTCCTTATCCATGAGTTTAGTTCTATTCCTGTCCACTTTGTTATCTATAGTGCAATTAAAATCCCCGCCAATAATTAGGCTTCCAGACGATACACGGTCAACCTTTTGCATCAGATTACCCAGAAATCTACATGGAAGTTGATCTGGAGCATAGACATTTACCAATGTATATAAAATATCGTTAATTCGAACTATCACTATGAGAAACCTACCACCAAGGTCGGCCTCTTCATAAACCAACTCATATTTCAAACTACTTGAGAAGAAGATTGCCACTCCTCTTTTCTTATTCTTTCCTACCAAATTAGATCTATGTACCACTGGAAATTTTTTATAGTTCCATACATTAGATGTAGAGTTAACCCAATGTGTTTCTTGAACGAAACCAATATCTGTTTTGCTGTCTATCAATAACTTATACAAGTAACCTCTTTTCTGTCCTGAGTTTAAGCCCCTTGCGTTAATAGATAGTATATTAAGTGACATCCTGCCGCACTTCGCCCCACACCCTCCTCCCCTCTAGCCTCCTCTCAGGTAGCATCCAACACACCGATCCACTCCCCATACCTTCCCCATTCAACCATCCACTCATACCTGCCCCAGTTGGAAATATAAAATTAAACCTCCTGGAGAAGTTCAAACAACAATCATTTAGAACATTTGTTCCATAATATGAAGTACTATATATAGTCTTCATATCTAACCCTGCTGCCGTCGCAGGACCTTGAACCAGGATAGTGGGCCATTTACCTCGCTCTACCCCCTTAATCTGAATTTCAACCCCGAACACAACAAAAAAAATAAAATAAAAATAATAATTTTGTTAAATCTATAAGATCTTGTGAATATTGTGAACCTCCTTTTCATTCATTTCGTGCATCTAATTTTAATTATGTGTCTAATAATCACTATCTTTAAACTCTTCCTCCATATTTATTACTTTAAATGTGAATCTATCTCCTTATTCTTCACTTTCTTTACTTTAAATCTTATATATATGTGTCAACAAAATATTTACAGATACTATAACTGTTAAGTTGATAAATATAAATTATAAAAACCCTTTTAGTGAATACCATAAGACTCCATTGTATTCGTTCCATGCAACTAAACCTGATTGTGTATCTATATATATAAATTTTAACTTTAAACTATTCCTCCATATTCATTACTTTAAATATAAATCTATCCTTATTTTTAGATTGTAAATATCACTCTACATCACTCTATAACATTTCCATTTCCATTTCCACAAAAAAAAAAAATTTTTTTAAAGAGTAAGTTTCAGAGTTATCAATTTCTGTTTAAGTGCCATATTGTCTTTAAAGATATATGTTTGATCTTTTAAAAAGACCATAATTGCCATCGGAAACAGCCACTTGTATCTTATCTCCTTGTTCCTAAGGTTTGCCGTTTCCTCTGAAAAGGTTCTTCTTGCTTGTCTTGTTTTTTGAGATAAGTCTTGAAAAACTTTTAAATGTCTCCATTCTTCAGTGTCTAGAGTCCCATTCCTTGTTTTCTGCATTATTAAGTTTTTTATCCGAAAGCTAGAAAAACAGATCATAACATCTCTTGGATAAGATTTATCAATTCCATTTGGTCTGGACAATCTATGAAATCTTTCAAAGGTTTCAGGGCCCAGCGTCTGTCGAGACAAAATTCTTGAGAAAAAACTGTCCAGATAAGAATATAAGTCCTCTTGTGTTATTGATTCTGGTATACCTCTAACTCTTATATTATTTCTCCTGGAGCGATCTTCTAAGTTTGTCAATTTAATCTCGACGTCGTTCAATCTTTTCTCTAGCTGTGTATTAAATGCTTTGATTTGTTCGTATTCCTCTTGTACTTTTTGTAATATTGTTGCCTGACTTGAGAGTTTCTCAGAGAAAGTGGCAATTTCCGATCTGAGATCATTTGTGTTATGTTCAAAATCCATTTTAATTTTTTTATGCAGATTGTCCAACATTTTGGTTAATAATTGTTGCGTTAATCCCTGTGTGTTTGGCAAATGTGGATAGTCATCCTCTGATATATTTGATATTTGGTGTATCGAGAGCTCAGCATTTTCTAAGGGCAAAGATTTTCGTTGCCTCTCTGATTCTATAGATGGCATTTTAGGAGAATAAAATGTGCCAATTGTTGCCTTCTTTCTCTCAGTAGTTTGGGTTTTCTCTTTCTTAGGAGCCATATGTAATAATAATAATAAATCTCTCAAAATTTTTTTCTTCACTTAAGGATATTATGTAGTTCTTTGACGCGTATATCTTTAAAGGGTTTCCTTCACCTTTTTTTCTTCCTTTCTTTCTTCCTTCTCCTTTCTCTTTCTCTTTCTTCTTACAGGTATTATTAGCTGATAAGTTTTGACTTATAAATTCATCCCTCCAGGCTTCCTTATTTAAGATGGATTCTGGCTTTTATGTATTTTTTTTTTCCTTTTTTCTTTTTTTTCCTTTTTCCTCTTTCTTTTTTCTTTCCCTTCCTTTCTTTTGTCTCTCCTTTTCCTTCTCTTTTCTTTTTCTTTCCTCCAATACCCTTCTTCTCTTTCCCTTCCTCCTTTTTCCTCTCTTTTTCTATCTTTTGTTGTAACTTTATTGTGACTTTAAATTTTAGATTTCAGGTAGCTATCTCTTTAAATAGCAATCCTTAAATTATCACTTCAAGTATGAGATAAAGATAGGGGTCAATGGAGGTCAATAACAAATAGATGGGAAAGTAACAAATTACAAAATATTCACAAATATTATTTTATACACCTTAGGACTGTTCTCATGTCCATCACATCAATGCCAGAAGCCAGTTTTCTTAAAAAAAAATACCCGTAAGCCGTCGGCTCATTAACAACCCAATCTCCTTTTTTTTTTTATGCCATCAAAAAATATTTACTGCAGCATTAGAGCATTTGGGCAGCAATAAAGAAAGGAAGCATTCAATTCAATTACTCAGCCACCTAGCATGGTCTGCAGCCTGAGATCTTTTCCTCCTCTTCAGCACCGCCGAGCTCAGCGTCCTCACTGCCTCGGTGCCTCGCCGCTTCATTGCCGCTTCATTGCCTCACTTCCTGGTCTGGAAAAGCGCGCAGTCCTGCCGCTGACGTACGCACCTACGTCACGTACTGCCCGCCCATCCAGCACCCATTTTGCATCTATATATTTTTTAATAATTTTTTTAAATAATTTTTTTAATTTTTGTTTTAACGTAGTTACATATTTAATTTTTTTATATTATATATAAATATATATATATATATATATAACAATAATTATATATATATATATTTAATCAGTATCAGTCTACGTGTAATTTGATATTAATATATATATAATTATATATTAATAGTAAAATACACCTAAACAGTGTATGTATATGTGTGTATATATACTTAGATCATATATATATGTAATATATATATATATGATCTAAGTATATATATATATATTTTTTACACTTAATTGACTTATTTTATTTTTATTTTCAGCCAGCAGGGGGACCACCTGTCATTACAGGCAGCCCCCCTGCAGCCTACCTGGCCATGTGATTGTGGGGTCCTCGCAAGAACCTCACTCTCACATGGCCGGGGGGCTTCCAGGGGGTCGGACGTACCGCAGGGGCGCTCCCTGGGAGTCCCCCGAACTGCGATCGCCGGCGACCCGGTAAGTACAGAAAGACCGGAGGGCATACAATTATGCCCGGCGGCGTTTAGAGCCGCCTAAAATAGGGCGTAATTGTACGCCCTCCGGTCTTAGGGGGTTAAGGACTGAGGCAGTTGTACAAGTTGTGATAAAAAGAAAAACGTAAACAAAACTTTGAATTTGCGCTATGTCTCTTCAACCAGAATTCACCTCTTTCATATTAAATGCATACACTTATTATATATAATTTTGTTCAGTAGAAATAGGGCTTTCATGTCATATCAAATATTTATATATGAAACATAATTTAATATTAATAAAATATAAAAACAAAATGTGAGAAATTTGTGACTAAGTGGCTACTAAAAAAGACTGGACATACCCCATTTGCCTACCTTTTGTAAAGGGTATCATGGGGGGTAATTCTCATTCCTGGGCTACCATATGGTCTCAAAGGCAACATAACCAATTTGAAAAAGCCTTATATTTGACTCTGTAACTTTTGAAAACACCATTAAACCTGTACATCGGGGGCACTGTTATACTTGGGAGACGTTGAACAGAAATATTCGTGTTTCATTGATATCGTCAGTGAAAGTGCCCTTTGTGTGTGAAAAATGCAAAAAATGTCAAGTATCTAATGTACTTTTACATTGTTTTTACTCCAGGCAGGCCACTGCTGTGGACGGCTGCTCCATCCATGTGATCACGACCTTATCGCGATCACGTGGCCTGGGAGGGCCAGATCAGCAGCAGGGGGACTCTGCTACATACTATGCTCCCCATCTGCATTTAGGATTGGGTCCCTAAGGACGGCATAGTACGCCCGCCGTCCTTAAGGGGTTAATAAACCCATAATGAGAACTTACTGACGCTTTAGGACCTGCGTTAAGGGATAATCTTACCTGCATGTGTATTTTTCTACCATGGAAATTACCACTAGATGGCAGCATTGCCAAACAGTATATGGAATTCCAACTCACCATAGCTGGTACAAAATAATAGAAATACAATAGTAATAGCTATTTTTGTATATTCATTTAAAGTTGGTGGCGCTGTAAAGAGGCTGGGCTGGAGCATATCTGCTAATAAGTGTGGAGATTTAAGCAACGGCATGGTTATGGTGAGCTTTGTAAGTAAGCACAAGAATTTTGAACCACATCCTAAATGTAACAGCCAGTGTAAAGACTGACAGAGTTATGAGGTTTGAGAATTGATAGATGTAAGGTAGATGAGTCTGGCAGGTGTTCATTACAGACTGTAGAGGGCAATCTGGACACTTTTAAGGCCGACAAGCAGAGGGTTTCAATAATTATGTCAGAAAATAACAAGATAATCTTGGAGAAGCATCTTAGTTGCATCCTAAATAAGAAAGGGGGAAAATATCAGAAATGTTTTACATGATTTATATGAAGGGGGAAGGAAAGGTTAGAGTCAAAGAGCACACCAAGGCAGCATGCTTGTGTGGTATAGGTTCTGCCTAAACGCCATCTATATTTAAACATAATCTATAAGTGGTCCAACTTTTTTCACTTTCAAAGTATTTATTATGTGCACTTTCAAATATTGCATATACTACTTTGCACATGAATATAATTCTACATACGCATTGGAGTTTTGCACTAGTATGTTCTGTATTTTATGTAATAATTTTTCACTGTTGCATTGCTGCGTGGAAAATCACAATATTGTCTTAAAGACACAGCACACCTTTTTAAAGTATTAATCTTCTCAATGAAGTGGAATGTAAAAAATATAACCATGCTATTATTATGAGGAGGCAATATTTCGTGTCACCCTCATTAGCTTTTACTGGTATTGTGTGGATATAGTATGCCAGGGTTCATGTTGGTATTGATAGGACATAGTTTATCTAGGGTACTGGAGAGGTTAGAGGGTAGTTGCTACAGAAGAGTATGTGGTAGTAGAGATCAGAGAGAGGAGAATCACCCACCCCACCACCCTAAGGGTCACCAGGTTTGTGAGTCCTAGGCATCCATAAGATAGTCAGAGGGGGAGAGACAAGTTTCAGTAAGGGCGAGAAGATGGAGGGAGTTAGAAATAGACTAGCAGTGAATGAAAGTTAATTTGGCAATGCTACAGACAGCAGATATGAAGCCAGAGGGAATGTGAACAAAGTAGGGTTCCAAGGGTTAGTAGAATAAAGGGGAGAAGGGCCAGGGTTAATTCTGTTGAATTACCAAAGATAAACAAAGCAAATAACAATTACACTCAGAATTTTTAGAATAAAAGTGAAAAGGTAAAAATTGAGAAATTGAAGTACATGGCCCAGTAGTAAGAGAGACCGCCACTTAAAATCTTTCAATCACTTTGCTGGCTAGATGTATTGAGGATTTCTGTGTATGTGAAAGCAGACCTGGGTCTAGAGGTGGATCCAGGTGAAGGACTTGAATGGTGAGTGTAGTTCAGCCAGTCTGGATGAAAGTGTGTCAGTCACTCCAGTGGCGTACACACAACCCATGGGGCCCTGGTGCGAAAATTGATCCGTGGACCCCCCCCCCCTCCCCGCGCTTACTCTGCACGGGCCGGGGCCGCAACACATGGCGGCAGGCACCTAGTCGCAGGGCTGCGACAGCGGTATGTACGCCAGTGCATGCAGATACACACCTAAAGGACCACTACAGACACCCAGATCACATCAGCTCAATGAAGTGGTCCGGGTGCCAGGTCCCTCTAGTTTTAACCCTGCAGCTGAAAACATAGCAATTTCAGAGAAACTGCTATGTTTCACTGAGGGTTAATCCAGCCTCTAGTGGCTGTCTCATTGACAGCCGCTAGAGGCGCTTCCGTGATTCTCACTGTAAAAATCATAGGGAGAAGACGCTGGACGTCCATAGGAAAGCATTGAGTAATGCTTTCCTATGGGCGGTTTGAAAGCGCGCGCGGCTCTTGCCGCGCATGCGCATTCAGAGCTGAGAGGCGGATCAGGGCGGAGGGTGCTGAAGGGGTTTTAAACACACACTCTCACGAACCAACGCATATACACTAGCTAACAGACACACACATTTACTGACACAGATACAGACACACTCAGCGACATACATACACACTCACTGACAGACACACACATACACACTCACAAAACATACATTCTCACTAACAAACACGCACTCACTAACAGACATCAAACAGACACACACAAACTAACACAGTAACACACACAGTAACACACTCACACACTCATTGACACACAAACTAACACACACTCAATAACAGACACACACAAACTAACACACTCATTGACATTAGCAGACATACACACACAGTAACACACACTGACACAAAAACTAACACTAACACACACACTCTAATACTAACACACATACACACAAACTTTTTTTTTAAATGTGATCCCCCAGCCTCCCTACCTTTGGTGCTGCTGGGCGGCCGGTCCTGTGCGCGCGAGGGAGCACTGAGATTCTCATGTTCATTTCCTTTGCATGCCACTTACTGATGCCGGAACCGGAATATGACATCATATTCCGGCTCCAGCATCACTGCGCTGGGCAGAGAGCGCTCAGGGGAGAGTGCTCCCTCGCGCGCCCGCAGGACCGGTCGGTGACACCAGGGCCAGCCTGAGGGGCCCTGAGGTGGCCAGCTCATGGGCCCCCACAGGAGAAGAGGCTGGCCACACTGGCGTACATTCCGGGTCGCAGGGCGGCTGGGCCCGGTCGCTGTCGCGACCCCTGCGACCGTGGTATGTACGCTACTGAGTCACGCAGTTCAATCAAAGGCATAATCATAGAGGTAGTGTGGAAATGGAGAGCGAGGGTGCCTGAAAAATGTTTTAATTGAAGAGAAAGGAAAATGGAAGGGGAACACAAGACTTTCCTGCAAGGGGAGAATCAGTGTGTGCTGATGACAGACGTAAAATGTGCACAGAATTGACATTAGGGAGTCCATAACAGAGTCACATATGCCAGGGTGTAACTAGCCCCCGGCACACTAGTACAAATAACTCTAGATGTAGACTGTTTCAAACTAAAATGTTGCAAAGCCAGATTCCTTCCTCCATGACCACTTAAAAATGCAGAAGTGGTCATGGACATGGGAGTAACCCTTTAAGTGCTCCTGTACACATTATACATTATTTGTTTAAAGCACATATTGTGCTTTCTTCCAATATTCTATGTGTATATCAGTGGCGGCTGATGAAGTTTTAAGATGGTGGAGTGCCAGATTCCGCTCCAGAATTTGACTTCACCCTTTAACTCGGTAGCTTCCATCTTCTGATCTGTCTACTTAACCTCATGTTCTGAACCTCTAATGGTAGTTCCTAATCAATACAGAGTTACCAATATAAACTCAGATCTAGTTATACTATAGAGATATCCATGCAATTCTCAAAGCTGGGTACAATATAGAGAATCATACATAATACACAGAAATTAATACAATATAGAGATACTCATACAATATACACATTTTGTGCTTATTTGCCACTTTCTCAAGACCACAAACGCTATGCAATCCCAACATGAATATAGTTATACTAATGCCATACAGCTCACAGGGACGCCGCGGAATATTTCTCCGGTGCTTTGATTATAGCACCGGGGAAACATTACTGCTGAACAAGGACCCGGTCGAGTGGACAGATCCTTTAAGATCGCGACTGGACCCCTGTAATGTCAGCCGGCTGGGAGGAAATGAAAGCCTGTCACTCCTCCCAGCGTCATGCAGAGAGACAGCGCGGGAGGAGGCAGCCCCAGCATGAGGGGAGAGGAGCACGAAGAGCTCCAGACCCCTCACTCCCACCAGTAACAGGACTCCAAACCACCCTTCTGGCACATAAAGTAAGCTGACAAGAGGGTAGCTGGAGATATAAAAAAAAAAAATCCCTTAAATGTGTGTGAGTATGAGTGTGGCATGTATCAATGTTTGGGTGTGTTTCTATGTGTGTGTATGTGTCTGTGTGTATCTATGTATGTGTCGGTGTCTATATGAATTTGTGTGTATCTGTCGTTGTATTTATATGCATCTTTGTGTTAATGAATGAGTGCATGAATATCTGTGTAAGTATGTATGTATGTATGTATGTATGTATGTGGTAGTGTATGTGCATACATCCAAGCAGTCAAACACTAGCACAACATACAAGCACACTCCTGCAATCTAACTCAAATATTACATACACACACCCCTGCATTAAAAAAAAATTCAAACACACCCTTCACACAAATGTACATCCGTCACTCACCGGCTCGGAATTGCCGCACTATTGTCGACGGCTGATAGCTACTTTACTTACGCCAAGACAAGCTAAGTTGATCACGATAGACTCTTGTTTCAGACTCACCAGGGCGGGCCGCCACACCACGCGAAGGAGCTGGTGACTTACTGATTAAATTTATGCGGGACTCTGACAGGGGCATGATTATGGGGGCTTCAAGAGGCTCCCCCACGGTGGCGTTTGAAGGGGCACAACTAACGTTCTACAAAGACTTCTCCAGACACACCATGATGTGGAGGAAGTCCTTTCGCCCAGTCACCCAGCTACTCCGGGAACAAGCCATCCCCTACAAATGGGGCCCACGCCGACTACAGGCAGAAAAGGCGGGCGAAACACATAAGCTGTCTCACGCATCTGATATACCAGCCTTCCTGCAGGCACTCGGCCTTCCAGCGCTAACGACACAGCAGTTGACCCATCCAACATGGTCTGTAGCGGAGATTACCCCCTTCGTGCCTAGAAGAGAGGCTCAGAAAACCTCTGCCCTACCAACCTGAAGCAGCAGCAGAGCAGGGCCCACACGCCCTTAACCTGTTGCGCCTGACAAGGGACATACCTGATTCGTTCCACGTTTGTTCTTGGTTATACCCAATACTGATGCTGTTGGTTATTGTTTTTTATTTTTGTTTCTGTTTTTATTCTCCCTTTTCCTTCCAACAATGCTGCTACTTAATATCATGCTCTTCCCAAACCCGCACAATACTGGCTCCGTAAGCCTTCATAATAATCATACGTATTGAGCCATTTTTACCGCTCCCCCCCTCCTAACAACCAGAGTGCGTTACACAGCTTGAAATATACAGCACACTACATGCTGCACTCTCAGCTAGCGACTTAGATGACCACACCCAGCTGAGACACACATACCTTCCCTAGCTCACCTAACTAAGGCCCCACGCTCAACACTAGCACATTCAAAGGTGCCTTGATACCAACTACAAGCTATACCTTGACACAAGCAGGCAGGCACCTAACGCTACATAATGCCTTTACTACACATTACTTAAAAATAAAAAAGAGGCTGACAAGTTTCGGAGATGTTGTATGGTAAACTGTGATACCCCATCCTGTATGACTTTTATTGTCTCCCTTTCTTTATTCTGTACCCGTAAAGTCTATACCTCAATAAAAGAAAGAATTCAAAAAAACAAAAAAACAAAAAAAAAACAAATGTACATCCGTATTTAAGAGTGAACATTACATTCAGACACACCCCTGCAATCAAACGCAAACATTACATGCAAACACACCCCTGTATTAAAACACTAACTATATACAAGCACCTTCAAACAGCAGCATTGTACATTACACTATAGCACCAGTAAATGCTGCAGCGCTGTACAGATATACAACCTAGACATTTTGACATGGGGTGCCTTGGAAAAATACTGAAATATTAAGGGCGCCTTGAACTGAAAAGTTTTGGGAACCACTGAGTTAACCACTAAATCCACCCACAGGTTCACACTACAGATACTACCAAAACCTGGTTCTCTGAACACTGAAGACCGGGGCAACAGAATAAACGTTAAACGGCCAGCACCTTCTATATCCGTATTAGGGACAGCTTATTGTTTAAACATAAAGTCAATACGTAGAACACCTTCACCAAAAATAATTAAAAAAAAAAAATCCTATATATGTGATTAGACAATAAAACCCCTAAATGCAAACTTGTCAAAATTAATTAAACAGGTAAAATGTAAAATACACTTTATGTAGCACACACATTATAAAGCAGATAGCTGACCATTTTAAAACATCTTGGATAACACTCAAAGAATGAACCTTTCACATAGTAGTCAAAACTATTACGATTTAGATTATTTTTTTTATATAAATATTTTTATTAATTTTGTCTATACTATGTAGACTATTAATGGGACATAAGTATAAAACGGATCTTCCAAATCTTCTGACTGTAGATGTAACTACCTTTTCTTATATGTTACACTTGTATACTAAATGTGAATAAAAAAAGTAGAGACTGGGAACAAAATCAAACATTTAACCACCACTCCAAGCCAAAGCTATGAAGGGAAAACAGTCATCCTATACAGTCTTACAGATCAATAAAATGCACACCTATAAGCAAAATATAATCAGTTATTCTCTCTCATTATACCAAACATACACACTTTTACTTATTCATTTGGTTCACACACTAAAGTTCAGTTTGAACCAAAAATCAGTGCTAGCTTTAAATGCTTCACTCTAGATCAGGGGTAGGCAACCTAGGGCACTAGTGCCAAGCACGTCACTCGAGGTGTCTTTGCACGGCACTCAGGGCTGCTAGAGCCAAACAGGCTCTGGACTATCAGGAGTCCCAGGTAAACTTCAGATATCTGCTAATGCAAAAAGGTGGTGAAGGGAAATCCTTAATTTATGCATTGCAGCACGTAGAGGAAGTTATCTCAGATCACTTCATTCCAGCACTTGTGAATGGGAATCCACACTGGAGTAGAGCATCCCGCAACTGCTGTTGCAGCTCCTGTCCTTGAGCTGTACCTGGGCATCCTAGTCCCCACTGGAACCCAGGGAAGCCACCCACACTGCTAGATATACACAGAGCTGCAAAATAACCCTCCCCTCATACAAATAATACGAACAGCCCACACACAAACACAACACACAATCCTAACACAACTGACAATCCACATACATACACACAACCCCACATGCAGCCTCTCACATGCAATACCCCAAACAGCCCCACAATACCACAAACTACTCATAAACATATACAATATAATAGCTCATATACGCACAAATACAACGATACAAAGCAACTACAGTATACGTAACAAGCAGAATACAGCAACATACACACCTCAATTTAAATAAATAGGACCAGCACGCTACAGGACATCACAATCCTATTTTGGCTCAGTGCTGCTAAAAGGTTGCCTACCCCTGCTCTAGATATTACCCTCATGCAGTTGTTATATAGAATAAACTGTTTATACAGCTCCAGCCACAGCTCCCCTGGCAATGACAAACAGGCAACATGCAAAAATAGATTAAAATAAAACTCCATGCATCAAATACCAAGACCCTTAAACATTCTCATAGTTCTCAAATGTGCTGGCTATTCTGTGTGATATAGCTTCATACAGTTTTGTTGTATTTAAGGTCACCAGTGCCTCGGAGATAATGGGAGGGGTAGGGGACTTCCAATGGCATGCAATGCATAGTTTTGCTTTACCCAAAACATGCATTGTCAGAATTCTATGTGATCCACGCACCCCATTTGTGAACAGGTCTAAGAGGAATGCATCAGGTTCAAATGGTAGAGATATGTTGGTCAGCTCTCTGATAAGAGACTGGATCTGTAGCCAAAAATGGTTGAGGGGGACAGGCGGCATAGTACCAGAAAACATGATGGGGTGCCTGCACTAGACCAGCATCTCCAATTCTGTGGCAATGAATTGGGGAACATGTGTGCAAGCATTTGCAGCATCATATACCACCTCTTTTAGTTCCTTACTGCGGATCTCCTAGCGATTGCTATTCCGGGATACTCTCCTTATGTGAAAAATTACTCTATACCACTATTCAGATGGGATGTTTTTCCTTAATTCCTGTTCCTATTTTGTCATATAGGGTAATGTATGCAGTGCATTTTTGCCAAAAGGAGTAATAGAGAGCTAAAGTTTTGACTTTGCATGATGAGCCTAAAGAAAGTTTATACATTTGCTGTACCTTCTCAGGTAGGTGAATAGTTCCCTAGGAGGTAAAGTATATTCTGCATGCATATCCAGGAACATCTTGATCTTGGAATGAGTTACAATCTGTTGGATCTGCCTACTCCTTGCCCTAACCGCGCTTTGAAGTGTAGGTCTGGTGAATACAGTCGGAGAGTAATCAACAGGACCGATAGTAGCTTAGGTTCAGGTGCCACCAGTCTGTCTATCTACCTATGCTATACAGATAAAGAGTTTAGTTGTTTGGAGTATCATAGTCAAAGGGGGATGGAGATGCTTAGAGTTGGTAGGTGGTTAAAATTAAGAGCATAGAGTCCTCCAGTCTTAAGCAAGATGGCGCTAACGAGTTGGATAGAGTTGCCCGCACCTGTGAGATTATAGTGGCTTTGTAGTATGTCCTAATATCCTGGCCCTCCACCCCTCTCAACCTTCAATCTTATTGTGCGAAATGCAATACGTGCTTGTATTTTCCATATGTTGTTTTTATAGTATAAGACTTTGCCGTAACTTGACAACAGATCAATTTGATTAGGTAGTGAATTCTCAGGGCTCACCATGAATAACAAGATGTTATCCGCAAAGAGACTAATAGATTGCTCTCCCACCGGAGAACGAATGCCTGGATGCCAGCGTGAGCCTTGCTCTGGTGAATTGGTTCCAATGCCAGGATAGAATTAGGGGTGAGAGAGGGCACCCGTGGCAAAAATTATTGGTAATCTTGAATGACTTACAAGTAAAGCCCGAATTCGAGATTTTTGTTCAAGGCTTATTGTACAAGGGTAGCCAAAGAAACCAAACTTGCATAGGGTAGCCTACATGTATGTCTAGCTGATGCGGTTGAATGCCTTTTCGGCGTCCAACACTAGCAATACCATTTGGAAAAAATGAGGATTATTTATTTATTTTCTTGGGCACACTGTGTTTTTCTACCTGTGCATACCTGCCAAGCATGGATTGCTTACTTAAGTTTGAATTTATAGAATGCTAGCTAACCTGCACCTAAATGATAAATGGGCAGGCAAAGCAATCTGAAATTGTTAGGGCACGTCTTTTTTAATATTTTTCTCTTGCTATTTCTATAAAAAAAAAAAAACTGTAAAATTTAAATATGCACAGCATTGATTTCACATGGGTTGTGTAGGGGAATTTAGCTTAACTAAACTATTGATTTTTACTCTAATTAAATACAAGTTGGGGATTTTTACTGCAGTGTTTGGAAAGAATTAACAATGCAGTCTGGTTAGGTTTAGCCCTTAATTTTTAGCTTTGAGATAGTTATGCGAAAATATTCTGAAATCATATGGAGTACTCCTAAAATCAGGTCAAACACATGACCAGGGCCAGTGCAAGGATTTTTGCCACCACCCCATATGCTCTGCCCACCATGTGACATCACAATAACCCACTCATTTGATCTGCCAAATGAGCCAACACCAGTGCCCCACACAGTGTCTTTTCTCTGAAAAGGCACTGTGTTTACACTAAAAGGCCTGCAGGGACAGGCTATAGACACCAGAACCACTACATTAAGCTGTAGTGGGTCTGGTGACTATAGTGTCTCTTTAATGTGAGGTAAATTAGAGTTAGTGCTACTAATAATATACTGGATTGCCTACTTACCACCAGATGAGGACAAGAGGACGATTATGGGCTCAGGCTGCAGTCTGGCTCCACTGGTCTGGTGTTAAAACAGGCTCTCTGGAGGCAGTGCTCACAAAAATCAATGAACAGGTAGCAGCTTCATTTTTTGGGGTCCTTTACACAGATCATGGTCTGGGCCCCCAGGGCCTGAACGTGAGTATGCCTTCAAAGCCCGCCCATAAGCCTTATGCCTACAATGCATACCCATGAGTTTGCTCACAGGGAGTGGAGTATATGTGTGTAGGGGATGTTATGTGTTATTGTAGAGGATGTAACGTGTGTGTGTGTTCTTATGAAATGTAGTGTATAGGGATACCTGTTTGTGTAAGGGATGTAGTGTGTTTGTATAGGGGATGCAGTGTATTTCTTTGTATGTAATGTAATGCAGTGTGTGTGTAAGAGATACAACAAGAGAAGCAGTGTGTGTGTGTGTAAGGGATGCATTGTGTGCTTCTGTGTATGTGTTCAAGGGCTGCATTGTGTGTGTTTGTGAGGAATGCATTGTGTGTGTAAAGGATGCATGGTTTGTTTCTGTGTGTGTGTAGGATTCAGTGTATGTTTTGGTGTGTGAGTAGTGATGCATTGTATGTTTTAGGTCAAGTCCCTCTGTGCGTCTCCCTCCTGAGCCCCTCTGTGTGTCTCTTAGTAATCTTCTTTCCCCTCCTGTCCCTTATTGCTCTCCCCTGCCTCCCTGTTTCTTAGTGATCTCCCCCCTCCCCTGAACCTTAGTGGTCTCTCCTCTCCCCCTTCCCTGGTGGTGTCTCTCCCTCTCTTGGTGGACGCTCCCCCCCATCCACCCCTGGTGGTCTCTCTCCCTCCCATCCCCTCCCCTTGTGTGTCTCCTACCTCAGTGTAGCGTGGTCGGGCGGCAAGGACCGCATACAGGAGTTCTGTTTCCTGTATCCGCCGGCTGGCAAAGCCTCATGGTAAAAGTCCACAATATCTTGAGTGCCGAAGGTTGCTTACCCCTGCAGTAGACATTAAACTTTTTGTGGCTAGTTTAATATTTGCTGTGATTTTATATTTACAACATCCGATTATATATTTATCTTAAGTGTCTTATTTCTTTTTTTTTTTTTTTTTCAGGAAAAGAAGATTTCTAAAGGCCTGCATTTTGTGTAGTTCATCAAGATTGTTTTTGCCTTAGTCTATGTTGGTTCGAAAAATGCAGGGAATTTGTTACTCTACAATGAAATCCACATAAAAGAAGAAGCCTCAAAAATGGTAGAGCTACACCGTTGTATGGAGTTAAAAATCTGCATCAAAATATATTGCAGTATGTTGACTGCTGACCAATGGAAGTTTTGGTCTCTTAGTAATATGTTTTCTATTTTTATACAATTTTATTTTATTAGGTTTTATTTTTTGTTCTACACAAGTGCATTATGTTCAAGGAATTCTGTTTTGGAACTGAAGCATACCCAGACTCAGTGCAATACATCTTAGTTGAAAAAGACAAAACCTAGATGCAAAAATATTTTTTGTGATCGTTTCCATTTGTGAAAAGTAAAATTGATTACTAGTCTGAGCGCTGCTAATTGGTTTTGTGATAGCTCTGAGAAAATGTGAATTAAGTGTTAGTTTGTAAAAGTTAAAAGCTCAGCATTTATTGATGTACCATTGTCCTGTCTCACATTTCACTATGAACGTCATGTTTCATTGGGTTACTGAGGTTATCGGTTTTGTCAACTTATGTGCTGCATTAATTTAAGTGTACTGTACCAAAGGCTTTAATGTCTGTTTTGTCTTTTTATATGATGACCTTGTCACCATTGTGCATATATGAACTATTGTAATTCCACCAACGTGTCCATTCATGTAGGAATGACTTGTCTTTTCCGTCTGAAATTAAAGTTTCCCTTCATTTTTATTAAACTATTCTACCCTTTGAAAAAAAAAACAGTATTATTATGGCAATGTAGCTTATGAATTTACAAATGCAAATCTTCAATACATTTAGAATGTTCCAGTTGCATACAAAGTGCTTAAAGGAACACTCTAAATACCATAAACACCACAGCTTATTGTGTAGTTATGGTGTAAGGAGCTTTTGGTCGCATCTTTGCCATTTTTTTGTCAAACATTTTCAAGCACATTGACAAAACTGGGGATCTCCCTGCACACCAAGCTTGGCCCTCTGCTTCATTTTGTCATTATCCAGCCTAAGTTATCCAGTGGACGGCAAGAGTGGTGACTGTTTAAGCGAGCAATCCCAGATTAAACCGCTTTGAATAGATGATGCAAAAAGGAAATTTTCATATTATCTGAGCAGTATACAAGGTCTTGTTTTTTGGGGGCTGAAAAAGACTCATTTATTTGGGAAACTTCTCAAAAGTACTTAGACAAAATATCACACCCAAGACTCTTTGTCTCATAACCACTGTAATAACCTGTAGTGTCCATGGTGCTTAGAGTGACATTTTTAAAGCAAATTATTATTCTATATTAATGTTGTTTTACACTTTGTCCGACTTGCCATGTATGTTCTAAGTCAGAAGGATAAGTAACAAAATGCAAAGTGCAGCACTTCTTCCTGGCTCTCAACTATATAAACTCCTTCTTGTACAGATGTAACCATACTTTGTGTCCAACAGTCCATGTTTGTTTATTAATGGGTTAATGCAAATACTGGCTTGAATAGAACTTTGTTTACTTGGCACAGAAATATAGTCAATACGTCCTGGTGAATAGCTACACTTAATATGGATGCATCTGTATAACCTTGTTGTAAGTGATCTTGAAATGTGTCACAGAAAATTCAAAGTGGTGTGGTGAAGAGAAGTTTGTTTGGAGGTATCTATCACTACAATAAAGCCACAGGTACATTTTCCAGATTTTTTTCCTTGCTGCAAACGCACAAGAAAGGCTGTGAATGTACACATTTGACAAGTAGTATCTGTTGTTACCAGTATCTGTCAAGTATGAAATTATTTTAGATACTTATGAGTATGGGTAAAATAAGGATGTTTTTAACCCCACCATGACATAAAACATGCCGTCACCATCATTATTGATTCACCTCACTTTGATTCATTCTTACAAATGGATTTTTGTTTGTTTTATGTGCTGCATCTATCGCTTAAAATTAATTTTGATGATTTTAAATGCTGCAATTTGTTTTAAAATACTTTGAAATTGTTGGGTGCTCTTTTTGGAAAATTAATAAGTTAATCATAATTTTTTCTGATTTATAAAACTGTTGCTCGGTGTTATCAAAGAAAGTACCAGTTATAAATCATCTTTATAGCACAACCTTGTATAAACAAATACCTCTATTAACCTCTACATTTAACCTCTAACATTTTCTACCAAATACTATAAAAAATAGAACATTACACTTATACCTCCCCCCCCCCCCTCAAAAAAAAAAAAAATATTAAATAAATCATTTTTCTACCTGCTTGGTCTCTTGGAAGGTACATTATTGGATATTTTGGTATCAAACCTTTATATAGGTATGTGCAGTTTTTAGATAAGGAATATGATAAAGAGAACAATCTAAAGCTGGATCAGAGCTGCAAGTCCATAAATGTAAATCGTTATTAAATTGAAACTCTTAAATATTGCAAATAAATTTCAGAAGCCCTAAAAATATTTTCATTAGCTGCACAAATAGCTTCTGCAGCTATATTTATAACCCTTTTTGCCCTTGTTAGTGCAGTCAAATGCTTCTCACACAGAAGCATTGAATAGAAAATTTAAATTTCACCCCCCATCCACCCAACTGCCCATAGAGATGGGTGGTTTTAATGAGATTTAGAGATTCATATGAACAAAATAAATAATACTTTAAGGCTGTATTAATTCAAGTGCAATCATAAGTATTGTTTTTCATGTGCATTAAATTTGTGAGATGCTATATAACTATATTGTGGACTAATATTCCTATCAGGCTCAGCCAAGCACTAGATGAGTTTGTTGTTATATTCCACATAAACAAGTTTACAAACTATTTAGAAGGTGGCCTCACTATCCAATTTCATCAGATGTGTTTTTATTTCTAACAAGCCTCAGCTAGAATCTTACTTTAAGCATGGTATGAGTTGTAGTGCAGCAGGGACAGGCAATGTCTTGCACTTATTTATGGGGTATACATTACCAGTAGAATGGTTCTTCTTTTGCAAATAGGAAGGACAGATTTGAAAAAAAAGAATCGATTTATGCTTTTTCTTTATCAGGGTATTAAAGTGGTAAACTGCAGCTTAGCAGCAGGAGCTTTGATACTGAGTGTTTAACTCAGTTAGCACTGCACTGGTTAGTCTGTTCAAGGTGTCTAGGGTTAGTGTGCTACGTGAGCTGAGAGAAAATTAAAAAGTTGCTCAAAACTAATATTGCCAGCCAGAAAGATCATGTACCAGCTGGCTGAATGACAAGCCATACACACAAAAGGGTATTTATATCCAGAATTAAACTATTTAAAAAAGAAATAATGTTGGATATGGTCTTTAGACAATAACCCCTTCACTAAGATGAAGTGGTTATGGTGCCTAGAGTGACTCTTTAATAACGGTTTACTTATTTTTATGCCAGCTGATTTAACTCTTAACACTGCCGGGCGTGCTACACCAGCCTGAAAAATGTGGGCTATAACACTATTATTTTCACATAATTAAGTGATTCTATTAAATATATAGTGAAGGACATCTCTGACAACCCAGGCAGAAAGTCCAGAGAATTTAATTTGCAAGACCTATACTTAATCGTGTACCTTTCCAAAACACTGTAAAACCTTCACTGAATACAAATGTGAGTGTTTTGAAACAGTTAAACCTATAATGACGATGATATATTCAATAAAAGTGTAGTTTTTTGTATAAAAAAAAATGCAAAAAACCCCCAAAATTAACACTAAGTTTGGCCAGAGTTTGTGACTAAGTGGCTATTAAAAAAGACTGGACATACCCTATTTTGAATACCCTGGGATGCCTACTTTTTCAAATGGTATGCCATGATGGGGTACATTTTCATTCCTGGGCTGCCATATGGTCTCAAAGGCAACATAGATCCAGCAAACCAATCTGGCAAATTTCAATGTCTAAAAACTAAAAAATTAGTAAGCCATATATTTGGCTCTGTAACTTTCCAAAACACCATAATACCTGTACAAGGGGGGTACTGTTGTACTTGTGAGACATTTCTGAACACAAATATGTGTGTTTTATTGCTTTAAAAGCTAACAGTATTATAATATTCACAGTTAAAATGCCACACAGAACTAAAAAAAAATAACAGTCTTAATTTCTCACACGTTTTTAGATTTTCTTCATATAAAAATAGTTTCATATATAAATATTTCATGGGAAATGAAAGCCCTGTTTCTCCTGAACAAAATTATATATAATAAGTGTGGGTGCATTTAATATGAGGTAAATTATGGTCACACAGACATATAGTCAAATTCCAGGTTTTGTTTTGACCAGCACTTGTACAATTGCCTCCATCCTTAACGAGTTAAGATATATTTTCCATTTCAGAACATTAATGGAAATGGACAAAATAACATGTATTGTGATGTAAATGAACAGGTAAATTTAGATTATTATTTTTTTGCATAACCTGGTTGTTTAGAAAAAACACTTTTTGAAACTGAGACCTGATTCCTATGTTGACCAAAAACATGCTTTGGTTGATCTTTCTGTTCTGCAGATGGTATTTAGATTTAAGATCTATTAGTATTCTTATACATTTTTTCTACATTTAATTTTTATATCACCACTCATGAATTGTGGGGGAAAGAATGCAGGAATATATTGGGAAGCTACGTTAGATAGCTTATGTTACATGTGTATTTAAAATACTGATGCTATCTAAATAAAATTTTAAAAAAATCTATTTTTATGTTTGTTTTATTTTTCAATTCCATTACATTTAAAATGTTTCTACTTAATGTATCTGCAAGTACTTATAGGAACACTCCAATGTTAAATATATTCATATATTAATTTATAATATTGGGGTGTTGCTTTTTTGTTTTAGATTTAGGCTCCTAAAATAAACTCACTCTTTTTCTAGCACAAGGACAGCCTGCTCCGTTCTTGCCAAAAACATTGTGATAGAAAATATCCAGTCCAGTCCAATGCTTATCATAGAGAATACCGGGCTGAAGGGAGAGGAAGGGGTTAAATCACTTACCTTTCTCCAGTGCCGGGCTCCCTCTGCGCTGGGGACTCTCCTCCTCCTTCGGACGTCATCAGCTGAATGCGCATGTGCGGCAAGAGTCATTTAGTCAGTCCATAGGAAAGCATTCTCATTGCTTTCCTATGGACTCTGGCGTCTTCTCACTATGAAAATCAATGAGACAGCCACTAGAGGCTGGATTAAAACATAGCAGTTTCTCTGAAACTGCTATATTTACAGCATTCAGGGTTAACACTAGATGGACCTGGCACCCAGACCACTTCATTAAGCTGAAGTGGTCTGGGTGCCTATAGTGGTCCTTTAAGATGGTAACATCTCAGTTTGTAAATTAGGGGTTTTGTAAAAGTCTCAATTTGTCTTAAAATCAGCACTTTAAAAAATAAGACTTTGGGGATCTTCAGATACCCCTCCAAGTCACTTACGCTTTAGTGTTCATTTAAATAGAAAACAAAATATATTTGTCACACATTGGTCATATTATGAAAAACAGCTGAATTTAAACACTAAAAAAAGGCCAAAACACCAGAGTGCTCAGATTTTGGCGGTGTTATATTAAAACTCTGGATGATGGTTTATTGTTATTCATTGAAATGCAACAAGGGAAACTAGTTGGAATGAAACTGTAATAATTTTATTTTCCTGTATTATTTTCGCAGACAAACCTGCAAAATCTAATGTTTGTCCTGCCCAGAATGATCCTTGCATGCTTTTAGTTTAGCTAACACAAGCTAATTGCAGAGCAGGACGGTGTATAATTTTGACCACACTAATCACAGCTCTATATGAGTGCACAGATCGGAGTGCACAGTTCAAGGCATGCCAGACTCTCTAATAATAACCGGTTGCAAAAGTGCAGTCAGTAACAGGCTGTACCTGGCAGGAATCTAAGATGAAATACGAAAGTACCAGGGGAGGAGTCATTTTTCAGGAAATTATAGCATTGGATAAAACATTGATAACCACCTGTAGCATTGACCTTTTTATCATGAAAGAATTTAATTTAAAATTTATATTAAAGATTCAGCAAATTACATCTTAATTCGGGTTCAGACATGGCAAATCCAGGGCAAACACTGCAAATAAAAAGAGAAATATAGACATTGTTTCATTTTTGTGCTTGGGAAAGTGAGGAGGACTTGCAAGGCTACAAATAGCAGGTCTGCAGCTGTTGCAAGCTGCTTTTTTATTTTTATATCCTGCCAAAGAAAACATTCAGGAAAAATACATGCATGTTTTCTTTGGAAATATATCTACTAAATGGTTTAAAAAGTGGAATTATTAATATATAATAATTTTTTAAATTTTTTTTTATAAAGCTTTATTTTTCAGTGCAATATAGAATGCTTGGCATGGCCACAACAGCCATGTCAAAATATTTCAACATTTAAACATGGTATATGTCTATACATGTTATAAGGTCAGGATGCACCCTTTTATATATAGGTAAGGTCAGATAGGTTTTAACAAGTTGTAGTTGGTTGTCATTAAAGGTTTATAACCCTCCAAGGTCATCTGCAGCGCTGTCGGGGTTGGGTTTTGTCAAAGCTAGGTGGACAGGGGTGTGTTCTGGGTCATCCTCGGCGGTTGCACCTGCCGTCCCCTTAATAGCCCATTTAGGGTTGGACCCCCGCGGTTTAGAGAGAAGTTGGCCCTCTATGTCTAGGAGTGAGTCGCTGAGGTTTGCGCTGCTTTATGTCCTGTGGGTAGGTGTAAGGTGTGTGTGGGCTGGGTGATATGCTGTTGCCTGTGACCAGTGTTATGTGTGAAACACAGATAGTCTATATAGTCTGGGGGATGTGGGGCCCGTGTGAGCGGTTGTGGTCCGACTATGTGATCTGCAGGTTGCAGAGGCGTGTGTAGACAGACCAGTAGTGGGTTCATGTAGGGAGGCTCCCTGGAGTGTAGCGCCCCCGTACCTTGGGGCCAAAGGGGGGGGGGGGTGCAATATCGTGCACCGGAGCACAGAGACCCAATCTCTGGGTGTAACAATCATTTCCTAATGGTCTGGTGGGTAAGGTAAGGCAATTATCTTGCATGAAATTTGCCCAGCTGTCCGTATGTGAAGGCTAATTAAAAGTAAATCAGTAACATAACATAGCATAAAGTGTCCCGGAGTTAAAACTGAACTTTGTAGCGGTAGACTTGTGGTCAGGTCGCGTTGCCTCGTTTCCCTCTGGGTGTGGGGACGTCTTTGTCATCCATGGGTGTTGTTCGAGGGCAGGTGGCGGCGGCTTCAGGTTGGTCAGCTAGGCCCAATGTGGCTAGCAGGGCCGGGCCCTCCTTGGGATCTGAGGCCTTATAGTTTTGTCCTTCCTTAGAGACCCAGAGGGTTTTTGGTGTTGCCCATCTATAGGTGATCCCTGCATCTCGCAGCTGTATAATAAACATTTTAGTGCTAGGTGGTTTGACTAGGCAAGTGCTTATAGGCAGTTATGTAGTTCCAAATAGCCTTGTCTGTATTCTATATCCTCTCTTGATAAGGACTGATATTAATATTTTGGGTTTGAGACTAGTCCCATTTCTTTGTATGTGTTGAATGGCTTGGCTTACTCTCAGAATTTAATTTAGAAAGACATTTTACTGTAAAATATGCTAGCAATTGTGTAGGTCTGTAAGATATACTTATGTATAGAACAAGACCAGGCAAAAATTGTATAAGACTAGCATAATTTAGCCTTAATACAAGAGGACTGTGCATCCCTGGTTTTGTTTGGAGTTTGTGCTATGTTATTGACCTTCTGGTGTTCTGGTGTATAGATGGATTAAGGAATATGGATTTCTCGCTCCTTGATTATATGGGCTAGTTGACTATGGGACTGATATCTTAAAGGTTGTCCATTGAGTCTAACGAACTACCTTTAAGATAGGAGTACCATAAGCAACTAGATTTTACCTACAGAACCAAAAGGTTTTTTTTGTGTGTGTGTGTAAGAACTTTAAAGCATTTTAATTCACTGAATAAGAATTATGTTCTATCAAGTCCAAGGAATGTTTTTATAGATAGACCTAATGCTGTTTTTGAAAAACAGAATATAAATAGCTATAATATTTATTACAAACAATATTAATAAAATCTTGTTCAGGTTCTAAAAAGGAACAGGTAAAAGCACAAATAATGTCAGTGCACATAACTGCTACCTAAATATAGAAAAATAATTTCTTCTGTCCTCCCGCTTAATGTATCACCTAATAAAGTACAGCGTCCATAATTCACAATATCCTGCTCATCTGGAGACAAATACCATTTACGCTGCCAGCGTTTATTATATCCTTTGGACTTAAGAAAGGATACAGGTTTCAAACACACAATTTTAATACTTGCAGTGTGTATTTTAGGATTTTCTAGATCTTACAACCACAAATTCCAAATGTAATTCCTTTGGTTTTCTATAAGTTATTAAAAGTGGTCCCACTGATCAAGACAAACATATGAAATGATAAAACCGAGCAATTTTTAAAGTAAATTCATTACCCAGCCTTTGCTATTGTTATTGATATTTATGTAGTGCTAACGCATTTCACAGTGCTTCACAATCCTATAAAGTGGGGCATTAAACAAATGAGACAAACTAATAGGAACAGTATATTAATGAGGACCCTGAGCTTGCAAATCTATGCAACTAGTCAATTTATTCCATTACTAATGCAGTCTGATTAAAGCCGTAGATAATTTTGTCAGTCGATTTGCTTCTTCTTGGTGATAAAACATAAATGGTTTTCTGTTTACCGATTGGTGCACATTTTAAAAACTGAATTTAACATAATCACTTTCCTCTCTTTAACTAATATGGAAATAAAGGCACCTTGGTGAGGCTGATTTACATTCAAAATCATTAGAAAGCCTAAGAAATCATTTATAATTGCTGACAGTTACTAGCTAAATGCCTCCATAGGCTTTCAGATGTTGAAATGATACCGCCAATTTATAGATAGACATCACAGCTGTTCTTTTAGTTCCTGGAAATACAGTTCACTGCTGGAATTGTAAAATTTGTAATTCCAAAAACAAATCTGTGAAACTATATGTAAAATACAAACAACTACCTTCAATGTTTACAGATTAACAGACTGTGGGAGTGTGGATTTAGCAGTTTATATTTTATAAATTCTATTACATAAAAAAAAATATATAAATTTCTTACAAACGGTAATAACAGGTTTGTACTTTACAGCTAATAAGACTTAGAGATATTCTTGTTTGTACGTGTGAGCTTTTGAAATAAACTGTGATGGGCTGTCACCTTGGCCATAAAGGTTGGGAATGTAGCACCTAGCTGTTACAAGCATGGCATGCATGAGGGGTATGGACATTTTTAACAGTTGAGTCACATACCAGCATACAGTTATAACATATATAAATATTAGACGTGTGCACAGCGAGCAAATTTGGTTTTGCCAAATCGAAAAAAATGTTTGTGTTAGTCGTTTCATGATGCGTTCTAGTTTGGATGGATTTCGCCCATGCAATAGTTTTGGGAATTAATACAACATGCAAGATGCAGCACACTCATTCATTTGTGTTTTTTTAAAATTATATTCAATTCAGTGAGCTTTAAAGTTGCTGTTTAGTGAGTGAGTGGATCTTATTCAAATAGCAAGTGAGAAGTAAAATAGATAAATATATCTAGATTTTCTTTTTTGTACTGCATTGGTCACTTCCCACTC